CAAAAATAATAGCAATTTCTCAAGGTCATTCAAGGTCATCCCGATTATTAACCTCTAAATGACCTTGCAAAGTGCGCTCTGGGATGAGCACATTTTTTTAGACCTGATTATCTTTGTTGCATATCGATTGGGTGTGGCGGTTATGCCACAGAGAGACTTTAATCGCAAAAAAGGTGAAAGCGTTAAAACGCTCTATACTGAAAACTGTTGACGGATATCTTTTCTAATGTGGTCCACAATCATTATCATACTCAGTTTAATGGTTTTCAGCGTTAGGTTTGCTCTTTTATCTGGTTTCAATTTTGTCTATGGGTTTTAACATGGGATTACTGCAGATTTCATGCCTCTTTTTTTCTATGAAAAATAAATGATATCGAAAAAGTTTCCGATCTAATCTTTGCGCCTCTATACAGTGTGGCTAAAAACTGAATATCATGACTCTGCGATCAAACCTAAGGCCAAGCGCCCAAGTTGTCCGAATTTTTTCGGTGAAGTTTTAACCGTAAACTATGATAGATAAAGAAAAGTTTTATATACTATTCGATAGGCCTCTTCAAGATCTATTGATTGCCAAAGTAAGAAAGAAATTGAATTAATAGTCCGGTCTTAAATGGCCTCGAAAGTTGCGCACTTTGACCTCGTATAACTCAGAAACCGCTGATCTAAAATGAGAATAGTTTTTATTTTTGAACTCAGAATGTAGGACTCTATTTAGGAAAAAAAGTTGAGTTCTTAACTCCCAAGGATAAAAAAGTGAAAAATTCTGGAGACCCTCCTTTTATCATGATGTTAGAATAGGCGCAAAACAATAGAAATTTCAATATGATACAAAACAGTGTGATAAAACGAGCTTAAAAATATTGAACCTTTAGTCGAAACTCTTTTTCCAATAAATGCGGGCATTTATTAAAGAGATTCTGGTATTGTGTCTTAAGTCAAACCTTGACTACTAATTGTCCCATAAGCTCTGATTGATTGAGATCAAACAAGAACAACATTGTGCTCAGTCATAATTTCACAAGTACATTTTTACAATAGTATTAGGATTTGTTCATGCGAAGAACCGCGCCAGGATTAGGATATGGTCTAGCCTGGTATGCAGTACCAGTGACTGTTGCATCAGCCCCAGCTTTTACTTTTGTCTCTAATCCATCAGACCATCTTCCTCTAGGGCATGAATCTGAATAAGAGGCTGGATCCATTGGATCAAGATCATTTCTAAGGTTTTTGGAGCGGTTTCCTCGATAGCGATTTGATGAGTGTGGAGACGTAGGACGATGATGTGAGGTTTTTTGTTTCTTTTTTGTTTCTTCCTCAGATTCCATTGAGTCATATGAACTCATATCTGATTCTGAGTCGTTAGAGTCTTCATCCAATGAGCCATCTTCATCATCATCCGAATTCAAACTTTGCAGAACTTGTTCCTCTTCTTTAAGACGAGCTTTCAACTTAGGGACAGGTAAAGATATCTTAGCTTCAGGATGACCAGGAGGAAGCCATGAGACTTCATCACTGACAGTATTCCAAAAATAATAACGAACTAATCCTGGTTCCCACACTTGTTGCCAATTAGCCGGTAGAGGATATTTTTTCAAGATTTTATTATATTTTCTTTGGATGGTTGGTGGAGGATTCACTTCTCCTTGGCCCCAATGCTTGAAACAAAAGTCGCTACAGTCGTGATGAACATTATATTTGTTTGGACAACCAGGAGCCATATCTTTACCATTTCCAGATCCCTTCATAGCAGCGGGGTCATCATAATCTTCAGCAATAACCTCTTCTTCAGGCTCTGAAAAATTAATGTATTATTGACATAACTAATTGTATGAGATAACAACAAGAATAATTACCTTGATCTTTAGCCTTTTTGTTGGAACCTGGAACTATTCCTCTTCTCTGAAGTCTAGCAAGCAAAGCTGGTGGTAAGTTTGCCATTTTGAGTTATTACTGCTCAACGGAGAGGTCCAATATACACAATCAATACAAAATAACGAAAAATTCGAGTAGATATTGTTTTTAAAAAAACACAAATGTTTAGCTTTAGCAGCTGATCGAGGTTTGATTTGCATAAGCCGTTTAACTTAAACAACAAATAAAGCAGCATCATCTAGTGACTTGACAAAAAGATAAACTCGAAATCTTTTTTGCTACCATTCTAGTCAAAATAAAATTAACTACTCATTGATGATTTAGTCACCTTAGTAGATTTTCATGGATACTTTATTCCTAATTTAAAGTAAAACGAGAGAATTCAAATCAAAATAAAACTAGATTTGAAAAACTAAGAAGTTCTTCTTAAAATAAAAAGAGGTAAATATTCATTACCTGCCGATCAATTTTGATAATAATTCATGTATTGGGGTTTTGATAAAAAGTCAACTCAGTGTGTCAGCAATGTGATTTATGACATTAAAATTGAGCGCAGACATTTGTTGCAGGTCAATGCAGGCCATTTATTTTTTTAGTAATCAGCCTTTCGTGTCATTTATGATCTTTGAAATACATCACCGATATTAATTTAAGGATTTGTTTATGATTTAGAGCCGAGAAAACAAATCAACCTTAACATAATCTTCCATATCTTTACAAGTGTCTTAGAAATTGAGGTTCATTTGATCCAGAATCCAATTGAACATGTTCATTCCACCGAATCAACTATCAAGTAAAACAATGATAGGCGTAAATATGAATTACTTAAGTATTGGTAAGAATATATCTCAACAGAGATTTTGAGTAAAAACACGGAAATTGAGAATAGTATGCAAAATTCCAACTGTGATCATAGTTCTCAATTCAGTGAAGCAAAAAAGACAGTTAGACAGTATATAAAGCAAAATTTTGAGGATATCGCCATCAGTTGAATCCATCTTCAAGCTGAAGATTCGAATAGTGCTGAATTTGTTTAAAACAGTTTTAAATTATATAAGTTGAAATAATTTTCCGTCGTTTACTTGTCCAGTCTATTGAAAATGATTTCAATTTTAGTATCTTATTTGTGTTTCTTGTCCTCAGGATTGCTTACAGATGCAGTGATTACTAATTCATCAACTCCAATCTCCAGAGGAAGACAAATGGATGATCTACATGAGCCGACAACAGCACTCAACCGCCAATGGCCAGAAGCATCTTACTTGGTACCCAATTTCGGAATGTCTACCCTACTTCCAATCGCTATTCTTATAGGAATCGGAGTTATCCTGTTAAAATTGTTCATCTTGAGTCTTTGGATTTTCGGACGGTCAGGAACTTCCATGGGTGGTTTTGGACTACCAGTTACTCCTTACAGTTCAGCATATCCAGGATATCATTCATTGGCATCAGCTTATTCAAATGGATGGCGTGGGGATGGTTCTGGTGCAGCGGCTCGATCAATGATGGACAGAAATGGACTACCAGTGTCCCCAATAATTGGAAACAAACTGCTCTCGTTGGTAGCCAAAGTAACAGAGGCAATCGAAGGTGTTGATAAACGATATAACAAAAGCTCCAAATAGTTGGAATGACTTTCTATTATACATATTATATATAAACTGCTCCATTGAGAACTATTCGTAAAACGAGAATAATTTATTTTATTTCTTCAAGAATCACTTTGTACTTTTTTAATGAAACCTGTTTACCATTAAATTATTATCGAAAAAAACAAAGGGGTAAAGAAGGTCACCAAGTTTATTCAAATAGAAATTATTTTATAGTTATGACCTTTTTTGCAGCTAACAATCATCAACTTAGTGAACTACTCAGCTGAAATATTGAGTTTGTTCAGATTTGTTTAAGGCTACAGATATATTTAGCCAGTGAACATACCATGAACAAATGAACAATTCAAAAATGTAAATTAATCAATATAATTGATCTAACATTATCGACGTGGAGTGAATCCAAACCAGCCCAGAACCGACCATGTTCCAACGGTTGCCTCTCTTTCTGGCATATCATGAGGAACAATACCAGATGGTTCTGGGAACTCTGGTACCCATTTTGCTGGTTTAGGCCTTTCTGGATCATGTACACGAACTTGAGCAAAATAACCAAAAGGAGGTTTTTCCATTCCAAGTTTCCGATACATACAAGCGTCATAGATAGTTTCTTGATCCCGACATCTTCATTGAAAATAGAGTGTGCAAAATTAAACGAGATCAATGTTATTGACTGCAGTTTGAAAGTCAAAGTGTTAAATATCTTTTTTTAAGAAAACAAATTAATTTGATTAAACGAAAACATACTTTGATAAAGCTAGACTCTCTGAATTCCATAGTACACAATTGGTTAAAGCTTCCAGTTCTTGTTTACAACTATTTCTTACATTACGATAAAACTCCTTTCCACACGCTGTTAACTTTTTACCCTCTTCGAGGCATTTACGAGGATCCTTTTCCTCCAATTTACATAACATAAAATCCTAGAAAATATAAGAGAAATTTGGATTAGTAAATCAGCGATGAAGCTTAAAATTTATAATAAATGGTGTCCAAAATTAAAAAATTAATGCAATCGAGAATCAAAAGCAAAAATCAAATGTATTTAAACAATATTTACCTTGCTCAAATCATCACAGTATTTACCCAAGTAAACTGCAGATGCTCTCATGATAGGACTTCCCAAATTGATCTCGTCCACCTCAAGCGATTCTGCTGGAGGTAAATTGTTATAAATTGTCCCAGCCATCACTAAGAATATTAACAGTCAAGTTAAAAAACAAAATTAATTAATGTAATCAAAGATGTTGATGTTTATGATCTTTTAACCTAACGTATATGACTCGGTAGCTTAGCAACAGAAAATACAGCTAAACTCAAATTTTTCATGCAATAAATATTGTCTAATTTATCAATCAAATTTTATTTTGAGGTTTTATTATATTAAGCTGTGTTCTATTAAATTATTTACTTTCAAAACTGCCTCAACAAAGAACCATGTTATAATAAATTTTATTTATTTGGAGAAATATTGAAGTTAGCTTACAATCGTTAAATTTGACTTGCCATTTCTTACAAAAAAGCTTAAAGGTAAAATGGACAAATCGTGAAAAAATCGGAATCAATTAAATTTCAATAAGACAGGTTCTTGTCTAAAACCTGCCTGAGTTTTACCTCCACTGTGAAAAGATATGCCATAACAAGTGGCATGATTATTCATCTCAGAATTGACCATTTCAATTGTTCCCTAGCTGATTGAAGGATTTGTGAAACAGTCTGTTCACCGAGAGGAATATCTTCAGGTTTTATGGCAACTCTTTGAACAACAGCAGCTGGATCTGCTTCCAACATGATTCCACCATCACAAATTTCATCAATAGCCAATATAACAACATCTAAATTCTCGAGCAGCGTTCTTTTTTCAACATTTTTTCTTAAAATTGAACTAATTGATTCCACCAAACAGTTGAGAAGACTCATAAGGAGGAGACCGTTTTCATCAGCACCTCCGATAACATAGAAAAATAGATCAACACTTGACCGGTAAACACAGGTGTAGCCATCTAACATGAGAATCTCACCATTCGCTCTATGAGTCTTACTGAACAGATTCTTTTCAAAGGCTTTTTGTTCCTTTAACGAGGAATTTTTGTCATAATATTTGGCGATAATCCTATTCCCGTCATTGTCCAAAATGATTATACCCGAAATAGCATTTAAAATTGGATCTTGAAACTAAAAAATAACAAATGTTAACATGAGCAATTGAATAAAAAACATATGATCATAAGTTTTAATTTGAAATCAAATTTCGTCAAAATTGATAAGATTACTTACTGAAATATTTGTGGCATCCATTTTAACGCAAGCCGATTGTATAAGAAATATAATTATTAAACTATTAGATTAATTGTGAATTAAAATAAATAACGTTTCAAGATTTCTAAATGCTGATGAAGTCTTTTACCATAACAACCCAAATATCATCTGTATCCGATACTTATATCGGATATGTTCAACTGATTTCTGCCAAATTTGATTACAATTCACTAACTAGCGAAATTAATAAACAAGGCAATAAAACACCATAAATCAGATTCAGATGAATTCTAGTTTTAGCTTGATATATAGAAACATTAGTTTATCATCTGCCGATGCCGAAATCATGATATACGATATTCAGGCAATTTGAGAAGCTAAAATTATTCCGGTCAATTTATAAAATCATGACCATGTTAATATTAATAGAAATTACTTATTAGATATGAATTATTTCGTGAAAGTTTGATTATTTTGAACCAAAGCTCAGATATTATCTGATATTTGATAATAACCCAACTATTTTAGTATTTAATTTCGATAGACTGACTTTTCCAACCTCTTTTTCAATCATCTTTTTGCAAAAGTGGTGAACAGTTTGGTGAACGTGTTGGAAAATTTAATGAAAAAGATTTCAGAAGAACCGTTCAAAAATGGATGATCAAATTAGCACATCAAGATTCAAATAGATGGTGTACTTGATATGATATGATGTTATTACAACCATTAATAATTCTGATTGATTACCATATCACCCTAAAAATAAAATTTACGATGATTTTCGTTTGAAACTTTTGAATGCTTCAATTGAAGGAATCGTTTGAAAGGAGAAATGTATTTCGCAAGTAAAAGATATGCTCAATGTTCAATAAACTGTTTGGATCGAACGGTTCGATATATAAATAGGTTTATAAAAAATTGACTGAATTTTGAATCTTTGTAACACTTTTAATGAACATTAGCATAACACAATGATTTATCAATTGTGAAATAGCCTTGATATCCTTCGATTATTATAATCCAACGTCTGTGTACTCATAATCAAATGATAAGTGAGGGGAAATTTTTCCAGACAGAAACGAGTTTCTAGCTTCAACAATTTTTTAGATAATTATATTGCAGCTTATTATGGATTGAAATATCTCGGGAGATTTAGTCAAGTGTTGTCGGAAACCAATGAAAAACAACCACAGAGTGAGCAGTGAATGAGAAGGAAATTATTATCAAAATACATCGAAGCTGAAGAGAGAGGATAAGTCAATTATTGCATTAGCGACTGTTTACAAGCTACAATGAAGTCAACATCAATTATTTTCCTTTTCCTTTTCATTCTTCAGTTATCTCATCAAACAACATCAGAAGATGTAGAGCCTGAATTAACATTATCTTCAGGATCAATAAGAGGTACTTCAGTTGACTTTAGAGGTGTTAAAGTTTACCAATTTTTGGGGATTCCGTTCGCTGAACCTCCATTGAATGAATTACGTTTTCAAAAACCAGTGCCAAAGAAACCATGGAATGGAGTGTTGAGTGTAAACAAATGGGGTTCTGCTTGTATGCAGCCAGTCTTCCCTGGTTTCAACACGGAGCTTCACCTTAGCGAGGATTGCCTGATTCTTAATGTTTTTACGACAGATGCTGCTTTTCAAGATAAACAAAATGGCAAGAAAAATAGTTTACGTCCAGTTATGGTTTGGATCCATGGTGGTGGTTTCAATTTTGGTTCAGCTAACACTGCAAGTCAATATGACGGTACACCAATAACCGGATTAAAAGATGTTATAATTGTATCTATTAATTATCGTTTGAGTTCATTGGGTTTCCTTCATTTGCCAGAAGCTGGAGTTCCTGGTAACATGGGTCTCTGGGATCAGCAATTAGCTTTGAAATGGGTTAAAGATAATATTGAACATTTTGGTGGAGATCCTAATAGAGTAACGATTTTCGGTGAATCTGCAGGCTCAATGTCAGTTTCAGCTCACATTGTTAGTCCACATTCGAAAGGATTGTTTAAAAACGCAATTATACAAAGTGGCTCTATTTATGATTTAAAACGATGGGCTCAGCCGGAGTTAGCCAAAAACTTTTTAAACAAAATTGGTTGCGAATCTAACGACTATAAATTATGTTTATCAAATTATCAATTTGGTCAAGCCTCTGAAGGATTAACATTCTGGCCAACAGTTGACGGTGAATTCCTTCCTCATCATCCAGAAGAACTGGTTGCTAACCATGGAGTGGATCCAAATATCAATGTTTTATTGGGTACTGTTGGTAATGAAGGAGCTTTCGAGTTGCTATTGAAAGACTTGGTTACTTTTCATCCATTGAATCCAGTTAACTTGACTATTCCTCACGCTAAGTACATTATCGGTAAACTTTTCGGTAAAAAGCTGATCGATTTCTATTCAGAACGGTACTTAGCTTCCTTGTCAGCTGATGACTCTGATGCCATCAGGTTAGCTGTTGCCCAAGCTCTTGGTGACACAATTCTTGCTTGTCCTACTTATGCACTTGGTCGAGATTTGATCGCTAATGGTGTTCCAAATGTTTATGGTTATGTCCAAACGCAGAAGCCATCCCAAGCTGTTTTACTGGTCTCTAATCAAGCTAAATGGATGGCTAATGTTGCTTCTCATGCAGACGATATTCCAATGGTTTTTGGTCACCCTTTTACCAAACTTGATAAATTCAATAATGAAGATGTTGTTTTGTCATTTCTCATGATTGACATTTGGACAAAGTTTGCCAGAGATGGGTAAGTGAATCCATTTTTACCATTTTTGTTTTTCCTTCATTCTATGCACTAATTGATCTTCTCCTTTGACACAGTAAGCCACCACAAATCTCTCATCGAGAATGGTTGCCCTGGAACTTAAGCGATTCTACTCCTTATCCCAGTATGGTTCTCAACTCCAACAAAATTGGTTTGATTGAAACAAAATCTGTTGAGTTTTGTATCAAAAATTGGCCTTTCCCACTCGACAAACCTTACAATATGGATTTTGAAACAGGTAAGTTTCATTCTAAAGCATAATTTGGAATTTTATTCAGAATTGTTGACACTCATATTGCATTTTTCATTCTTTAACAGGAGTCTATGCCAAAATGGAAGAGGATCATGATGAGCTTTAGAGGTGTTGAAGTTTACCAATTTTCGGGGGTCTCGTTTGCTGAAACACCATTGAATGAGCTACGTTTCACACATATTGCAGACACAATTTTTAAAAATCTTCATAAACTGATTTATTTTAGCAATAATCATGTAACTTGAAGAAAAGTAAAGAAGTTCGTTGAGTTTGTGTAAAAATTTTGTTTTCATTGTGATTCATAGAAAAAGGTAAATCTGTGACTGTTGTGAAAATGAATTGTTATTAAAAAGACACAATTAACACAATTGTCACATTTATGTTTGAGCATAGAAAATAGCTGTGAGACGGAAGGGCGAAAACGGGTAAAAATAAATTTTCTTTGAATTTAGACACTGTTGGTTTGAAGGGACGTATAAACTGAATCCATTAGTGCTATTAAAAAATTTCGTCAATGAACAGTTTTTAAGAAAATCGAGTCTAAAGTTAAAACTTCGATCGCCTTTTATTCAATTATGGAAGCAGATTTTTTCTAGACACTAATTTCCCTGATGTAAATTTTGATGCCTAACAAGAAAATGTACTTATTTTGAAAAATAGAATTGTCTGTTACCTTCAAGACGGATCAGTTCGATTTTTAATTAAACCTGTCGCATTCTGTGACCGTAGAAATTACAGATCTGAAATTTATTATTTGTTTATAAAAATTGTTTGTACACATCAAGACTTAAATATTTTTTGCAATTTATCGCCAGTTCTTTTGATTTTGGCCGTTGGACTCTAAACTTCTAAACTCGATATTTCGAGAATGGTTGTACCTACAGTCACAATTATTTCACCAATCTAATCCTTCATCAATAAAAAATTTAATTTGATCCGAGAAATTCCCATTAGAGCATTGGGTTTATTATTTTTGGGTCTAGAATGCACAAGAAGCAACTTATTAAACAAAATAGACTCATCTCAAACCATTTGTTGGTAAATAAACCAATTTTCTGGTTATACTTTCAAATCAAATTCAAAAAGTAATACCAAAGACTCGAGAATTTGATATTAAAGATACAACTTGGTGGGTTTGTAGGGATATCAAAACTACGTCTATTGGTACTATTAACTAACTCACCCGATGATTAGTCTACGAGAAAATTAAGATCAAAGTTGAAACTTCGATCGACTTTTGTGCAGCTATGGAAGAATATTTTTTATTGAAGCTCATTTTAATGATTTTATTTACGATGATTAACTAGAAAATGTACTAATTCAAAGAAATAAAACTTTTATTTTTCTGTAAAACAGATTAGTTCGATTTCTAGTCAAACCTGTCGCATTCTGTGACGAAAAGGGTTAGAGATCTGAAACTTATTATTTGTCAGTCAAAATTGCTTCTTCACATTTTGGATTAAATAATTTTTTCAATTTGTTAACAGTTGATTTTGGCCTTTGAACTGAAAACTTTGAGTCTCGATATTTCGAGTATGGTCACATCTACAGTCATAATTCTTTCACCAATCTAATCCTTTACTGATTAATAATTTAATTCCATTTAACAAATTTCCATTAGTGTATTGGGTTTATTATTTTTGGGTCTAGAATGTACAAGAAACAACTTATTAAACAAAATAAACTCACATTAACCCATTTCTCAGTTTTTAAACCAATTTTCTGGTTAAACTTACAAACGAAATGCAAAAAGTACTGCAAAAAGCTCGAACGTTTGAGTGAAGACTTGAGATTTTGTAGGGTTGTAGGGAATTGAAAACTAAGTTCATTGGTACTAATAATTATTTCATGCGATGAAAAGTTTTCGAGGAAATGGAGGTCAGAGTTGAAACTTTGATCACTTTTTGCTCAGCTATAGAAGGAGCTTTTTTCATAAAACTCATTCTGAAGATGTCTCTTTCGATGAACAATCAGAAAATGGTCTTACTTTGAGAAGTAAGTTTTTAAATTTTTAAATAAATCTTTAAAACAAATCAATTTCGATTTTCAGCTAAACTTGTCGCATTCTGTGACCGTAATATTTAGAGAACTAAAACTTTATGCTAAGTTGATAAATCGTTATTACACATCTTGTGCTTAATACTTTTTTCAATTTAACCAACAGTTCTCTTGATTTTTGGCCATTTGTCTAAAAAATTTGGACCTCAATATTTCGAGAATAGTAACACCTACGATCATCATTCTTTAACTAATCGTTAGATATTTTTATGGGCTATAATACATTGAAATATAAAATTATTCAAGATCCTACGAAAAAAGTTATAGCATTAAATTATTTATGTTTTCAGATATGAGACTTAGATTGTAAAGTTGAATGTTTACCAAACACAAATCTTGTGCGTTGAAGGGATCTTCATCATTAAGTGAGTTAGCTCAGATTTTATTGAATGTTCAGTAATATAAGGTTATAGCCCATAATGGTACTGATGGTTGGTGAAGAAATGATGGCTGTAGGTGCTTGCATGTTCGAAATATCGAGGCTCAAAGTGTCCAGTTCAAAGGCCAAAATCAAGAGAACTGTTGACAAATTGAAAAAATTATTTAATCCAAGATGTTAGCAAACAATTTTTATAAACAGATAATAAGTTTCAGAACTCTAACCTTTTTCGTCACAGAATGCGACAGGTTTAAACAAATATCGAACTAACCTGTTTTAAAGAAAAATAAAAGTTTTATTTCACTAAATAAGTACATTTTCTGGTTAATCATCGCAAGCTAAATCATTAAAATGAGTTTCATTAAAAAATATTCTTCCATAGCTGAACAAAAGGCGATCGAAGTTTCAACTTTGACCTCGATTTTCTCGAAAACTGTCATTCGGATGAACTATTTAATAGCACCAACGGACTCAGTTTTTATGTCCCTACAAACCTACTAAAGCTTAAACTGTTACCTCAAAGTTTCGAGTCTTGGGCAGTATTTTTTGCATTTCATTTGCAAGTTTAACCAGAAAATTGGTTTATTTACCAACAAATGGGTTGAAATGAGTTTTGTTTGGTGAATAAGTTGTTTCTTCTACATTCTAGACCCAAAAATTACAAACTCAATGCACAAATGAATATTTATTACATGGAATTAAATTCTTAATTAGTAAAGGATTAGATTGGTGAAATAATTGTGACTGTAGGTCCTTGCATGTTCGAAATATCGATGCTCAAAGTTTTCAGTTCAAAGGCCAAAATCAAGAGAACTGCTGACAAATTGAAAACAGTATTCACTCCATGATGCGAGCTAACAATTTTTATAAACAAGTAATAAGTTTCAGAACTCTAACTCTTACGGTCACAGAATGCGACATGTTTGACGAAAAATCGAACTTAACTATTTTACAGAAAAAGCAATGTTATATTTCTCAAAATAAGTACCTTTTCTTGTTGGCCATCAAAATTTACATCAAGGAAATAAGTTTAATTGCAAAAATCTGCTTCCATAATTGAATAAAAGGCGATCGAAGTTTCAACTTTAGACTCGATTTTCTTAAAAACTGTCCATCGGAGAAATTTTTTGACAGCACTAATTGATTCAGTTTTTACGTCCCTACAAAACCAAGAGTGTCTAAATTAAAAGAAAATTTATTTTTACCCGTTTTTGCCCATTTGTCTCACAGCAATTGTCTATTTGTGCATAAATGTGACAATTGTGTTAATTGTGTCTTTTAATAACAATTCATTTTCCCAACAGTCACAGATTTACCTCTTTCTGTGAACCAGAATGAAAACAAAATTTTCACACTGATTTAAGAACCTGTTTACTTTATTCTTCTTGTGGAGTAAAAACCAATTCTTCCCAGTTCGGAATCTCAATATCTTTGGAAGCTCACTTAGACTGTGTGCCACTTCACGAGTAACTGAATTTAATTTGAATTCAACAATTTCAAGTTACATGACTATTGTTAGGGTAAATCTGTACAACATTGTTATTGTGTTTAAATGTGACAGTTGTGTTGATTTTGTCTTTTAGTAAAACCGTTAAGATGCCAGAGTATGGATACATGAGTCTATCTTACTTTTTAATACAAGGAAAACTGACATAATTTAACGGTTTCTATAAATTGTTGGCAGAATGTGATTTTCTGGAGGCGTAGAATGCAAATCTTTATTTAACTCAAGCCAATTAAAGATGGAACAGAATTATTGAATGAAATTGAACGATTCCTCCTATGAAAATCTTTTAACAAATGTTGATTTTAAAGTGAAATTTTTTTAGTACAATCAAACCGAGAATAAAATGAAACATTTGGTTGATTTTTCTTAATTATTCTTATTTTTATATTTAATTACCACAAAACAATTTGTACATAAAAAGACAACAAACAACCGAAAATGAACAATTAGTCATCAGAATTAGAAAGTTTGCGTTAATAGATACTGATGATGATATTCTCTCTTTCTGTGTAAATCTGATTTTACTGGATTGATATTCAAAATTATCTCTTGATTTTATTTTTCTCTCTCTCTCTTATTTTTAGGAGATAATTTGAATTCTCAATTACCATTTACATCAGAGTATGGTTATCATGAACACAATTAGAGTCATTCCAAAATCTGTGTTACAAAAAGTTATTCGTCGCTGTTCACAATAAGCCATTTCAACTGATAGGGTTGTAAATTGCTTTAAGCTTCAGAATTACAATTACAAGCTGGCTCTTGAATTATTACTTGAATTATTTAAGATCGGAAACGGAAAATATAAACAATTAGGTTGGCAACAATTTAGAGTTGGTGCTGTTGATTGTGTGGCCGCTGATGATAGTAGTGCTGCTGAGTGTAACTGAAACTTTGCTTTTTTATAACACTTCAATGATTGGATATAATTTCAACTTTTGCATTCTGTTTGATTAATCTGCAGTATAAGGTGGATTTTAAGAGTGGAAGCGATAATTTATTCCTCTTCCTCTTCTTCCTCTTCTTCCTCCTCCTCTTCTTCTTCCTCCTCTTCTTCTTCTTCCTCTTCTTGTTTGGGAGGAGGCTCGTATCTAGGAGTAGACTTGGGTGGTGAGGGCTCAGGAGCGGAGAAAGGCTTGAATGTATCCTAAACAAAAAAATATGTTTCGTTAAAATGTATTCTTAAACAGCAATAACAATGATTTACTAACCATAACATCTAGATCATCATCAGCATCGTATGTTCTTGCACCGGGTTCGTAGCTTTCCTTATTTTTAGGGTTTGAAGGATCCCAGTTCATCAATTTAGGAGATCCTCGCTCTTTGTACTCCTTGATTCGTTCTTCCCATGATTTCTCGAGATGTTGCTTGTAAAGCTCTTCCCAGCCCTGAATAATTATAGATAAAATAATTTTCAATTATGAAACAAAATTTGGATTATCTGTGTGAGTAGATAAATTATATCAATAGTTAACTTACGCCCTCGAAAAGATCTTTCTTATCTTTGAAGCTTCGGCGGTCAACTCGTCTTTCGTATTTGCTCGCAACATTGATTTTTGGTGGGTATTTTCCGGTGAAAGCTCTATATTTGGTGATTAAATTGGCAATCATTATTATCAAAGAATTTGTTGCATTTTCTGTGTCTTCGAACAACTTACTCAGGGTCTAAACCTTTTTTCAAAGCCTTATTCCTGTTGATTTGCCGTTGACGTTCGTTCAATTCTTTCAACTAGATATTTAAAGATAACATTTCCTTTTGATTACGATAAATTTTTTTGACAATTTTCCAACTATTCTATTTCACTTACATCGTAATCTTGTCTCTTTTGCCTTTCCTCAAGATCATATTTTTCGCTTTCCAAGATAACAATTTGCTCCCATAACTCAGAAGCCTTTTTGCGAAGCTCATCCGTGTCCAATCCTTCGATATTGAGAGCTTTGATTCTTAAACTGAGCGCAATCCTTTTTTCCTCAGCTAACTGCTCCTTTGTTTTGTTGAGCTCAGCTCGTGCAAACATCACATTAGAGAACTGAATAGTAATGAAAATAGTCAAACCATTTAACAAAGTAAAATCAACAGGTCCATTAATCTACATGATTAAAAATTAACTAACCTTGTCGTGATATTGACCAGTTGGAGGTGGAGCACCTTCCTTTTTAGTGATGACATAATTGGGCTTCACAGACTCCTTTTGCTTCTGCATAGCCTGTAACATGGCTTGACGTTTACGCTCAGCCTCTTCCAAACGTTTTCGTTTAGCTTCAGCTTCGCGATTCTTTTTATCTTCCTAGTTGACGCCATTAATTAATAAAATTTAAAAGAAAAATTAATAAAATTTAATCTGTGAAATATAAACAGTCAATCATATTCAACTTTCAATTATCAAAAACAAAAAATTGAATGGATTCTAATAAAGTCGCTATAATATCGGATAGGATCATTTGAGATCAGATTGCAAACAGATAACTCTTTGCCAATGAAAATTTTTTCAGCTTCTAAATTGTTTTTCTTCTCTAATTGTATTCATGTAAGCTTTTTTTAAAGATGGTTCCTTTTTACAACACAATTACAAAAATCTTTGAACTAAATTAATCTCAACTGTTTATGGTGTAAAGCTGTATCTTTGCCAATAAGTGAACCGATTGGTATTTTCTCGTAATCAATGGATCATAGTGTAAAATGAAGCACTTATGCTGTCTATTAAGATTATCTATGGATAGCAGATAAATTTATCAACTCTTGTGGTTCCAAAAATTGTTCCATGTGTCTCTCCTGAGTATTGAATTTTATCTTTCTGATTCATTATTTATATGATAAATTAATGTAAACAAATGAGTCGATTATGGTACTCACGATTTCGCGTTGCTTTTGCTCTTCTTGCTTTCGCTTCATTTCAAACATCATTTTTTCTTGCTCAGCTCGTTGAGCTTTTCTTTTGGCTTGTCTCTCCTTCAACTTCCGGAGATCCTCCTCCTCCTTGGATCGTTGTTTCTTTCGCTGTTCAATGTATTCCGCCCACATGGCTTCTTCTTCTTCCTTCTTTTTTCGGAGTTTCTCCTGATAATAATGAATGAAAAACAGTTTTTACCCATTCGCAAGGAAACTTAAACCGGTGTTGAGGGAGGAAAACAATTGTTCATCAAATATTTAAAAATTATCAGTTGAAACCCTAGCTGGTAAAAAAGGGTAAAGTTATTTGGAGTTGCTCTCATCTGATATGACCTTCAAGGTTGGAATTGGACAAAACCCAGATATAATTAGCTGTTTATAGTAACTGAATACAGACGAGGCTGATGCATCTCAAGCATCTAGGCCAGTATTTTTGTTAAATTTAGTTTTCTAATCTGGATTTAACATGCTGCCTATAAACAGGACTATGGAAATAAGGATTCCCGGAACAATTAGGATATTTTTTTGATAAAAGGTTAATACAAGGAAATTATTTGATTGAACTCACCTCCATTGCCATCTCTGCTTCGGTCATCTTGATGGGTTATCTAAGCTCGTTTCTGTAACGATAATTGATAAAATAATTACAAACTTGGAATCGAATCTAGATGGAACAAGGACAACAGGATAAAGACTGAATTGAACAAATACAAATTGGAAATTAACAATCAAATACAACTCCTAATCAAAGAAGAAAACTGTTTAAAAAATTATCCTGATCCAAAACAAACTAAACAAAACAAGACAAGGTGAAAAGATGGACACAAAACATGAATAGACTATCACATTAATATGGATTCACTAAGGTAAGTAAAATTTGATAATCAATTACAATATTAACTTCAGGAGTCGAGAATTAAAACAGATTGTCCAAGAGAAGGACAGAGTCAACGTAATTTGAAACAGACACAGTGTATAGTTAATTGTTGACCAACCTTAGGATTACAAACCACTAGGAATACTAATCAATAGGCAATAATTAATAAGTGTAAATCAAATGGCAACACTGGCAAATGAAGAAGATAAAAAAAAGAAGAAAAAAATCTTACTCTATTTTGTTTTTGTTGGTGCAAAAAAAAGCTTTTAGGTGAGGATGAGGATGACACTGAACGGGAATGAGACTATTCCCACCGATTAATGGTAACACTGCGAGAACGCAAATTGCAAAAATTGAAACCAACTCATCCCTCATCCCATGGATAGACATGATCATCTTCTCAGCCATATAAGGTACCATCATCTTCCTTTGACAATCTCTCTCTTTCTCCCCTCATCTTGGAAGGAGCTCGTCATTCCAAGGAAGGAATCTGAACAAGAAGCTTGTCAAAGTTCATGAGGCTTGAAAAGTAAACCTGTAACTAAGAAAAGACTGCGAAAACAAAACTCATCTTCTTCCCCTTCTCCTTTACGCTCTTCCTCTTTCTTCATCTGTCTATCTTAATCTCTCTGTCTCCGAGTACTTGTCATTAATTCAGTTGATCCTCCGATAAATATCATGAAGCTATCGAGAAGAGCAGAAAGAGCCAGAGACAGATGATGATGCCTTTATTTGGGAAGCGGGATGATCCTCTACCAGCCTTTCTTCAACTTCTGCGTCTTCTCAGTTAATAATGAGCCAGCAGTCTAATAGTCTCATTCCCGGTTCAGATTCATCATCATCATCAATTCACCTTAAAAGTTTTTTTTCGCGAAAATCTGAACGTAAAATTAGGTAAGATCGAGTTGCTTTTTTTCAAACCATTTGACTTTATTTCTTTCTTCTCGGCTGCTTCATCTTATCGGCTGTTGTTCATTTTTTTTGTTAGTTTTTTGTTCTCGACTGTTTTTATTTACATATTTTTTTGGTGTTCAGTTCATTCAATCCTCTCATCATCAAGTAATCTTGTTGATTAGTTAACCTTTAATTTTATCAATCCATTAATCAACACCAGGTTGGTCAACCATTGTTATTAAGTGATATCAGTTTCAAAGTCATGTGTGATTCAAACCAGTTGCTTCCTCAGAAGACCCGTTCACCTGTGTTTTCATGTTTCATCTAACCAGTCGTTGCCACTCAAACTGTAGTTTGTCAAATCATTGTTTAGAATCAAAGATTTGTCCTGACTAGCTCAACAATCAAACCTGATTTCAGATTCATTGCTTGTATCCACTTGCGTTTCAATTCCCCGTAACTTCATTTCAAATTTACCATTTCAATCAGTTTCTATTTGATCATTTGTTGACTGTTAATACACTCTTGATTCATCAAACTAACCAATGTTTAAACATAAAACTCAAGTCTAACCTTGCTTTATATCGGGTTAAATCAAGTTCACAAATCCAACAGCAGTAATAAGCTTTCGAGTTTCACCTTCGGATAAAATTTTTCAGCAAAAGGACAAAATCTTTCATTTTCCTCTCGCTTTTCACCCAATCCTAAATCTATTAACTCTATTGATTACTCTATTATTGTTGCAAATGATCGTCTAAGCCTAAATCCAATAATTGGTTAGTTTGTTAGCCAAAACTGAAGCCAAGAAATAAATTTTCAAAAAGGTTGGGCTGATCTATTTAAAGTAGCTGTTCTAAATATCAATTTGCCCATGTTAACTTGATTTAGATTTTTCAGTTCAGTCTAAATAGATAAACATCTTGAAAGAAAAAAAAAATATTTTCATCTTCTCATTTCAGATAACTTAACAGTTGAAAATAGCGTTTCTTGTGCCAAGTTGGTTCACTACTATTTTCAGACAACCTCTACATCAGTTTCATCTTCATAAACATTGAATGCTCCAAACATTTGGTTCTAAAAAATTTCCAACTCATCTAAATTACATTATTAATTATTTTTACGCTTATTTTTAATAATTTGTTTTCTTCTCTTTCTTCAAATACAGTTTAATTTATCATCAACACCATGGCTGAGGATCTAACGAAGGAACAAGTTCAAATGCTTAGGAAAGCATTCGACATGTTTGACCGAGAAAAAAAGGGTTACATTGCCTGTAACATGGTCTCAACCATCCTGAGAACATTGGGTCAGACTTTCGAAGAGTCTGATCTTCAGCAATTGATTGAGGAAATCGATGCTGATGGTATTAATTTTGTAATTATTAATAACAATTAGGCAAAAAAATCACCAAATTAACCTTCCTTCCTAGAGCTAAGTCAAATGTAATGCGATGTGTTATCAAGTCAATTGTTATAAGTTGATTTACTCATTTCATTTTTTTTATTCTTCTCAATCTAGGTAGTGGTCAACTGGAGTTTGATGAATTCTTGACCCTTTGTGCTCGTTTCTTGATTGAGGAAGACGCTGAAGCCATGCAAGAGGAGCTCCGAGAAGCCTTCCGTTTATACGATAAGGAAGGAAACGGTTACATCAAAACATCAGATTTGAGGGAAATTTTAAGAGCTCTTGATGATAAATTGACTGAAGATGAGCTCGACGAGATGATCGCTGAGATCGATACCGATGGATCAGGAACCGTCGACTTTGATGGTTAGTCAAAATAGCAATTCAATTGTATCATAAAGAGAAATTAATTTTTTCTTCTTTCACTTTTCTTCATTATAGAGTTCATGGAAATGATGACAGGAGATTAGACGGTCGGATTGACAATCAATGACTTCAACATCGGAAACAATTATTCATCGAAGAACCAAATTTAATCTAATTACACAATCTATTGTAACAAACGATTGCACTTGGTGTTTAATGTTAATAACAACAAAGTGAAGTTTGTTAAGACAAATTGCTGCAAATAAAAACTTCAGCAAAAAAAGCAAACTTTACCACAATTGTCGTTTTATTAATTTGTTTCATTTCACTTTTAAAGGATTTCAAATTCAATAACATCTGAAATTGTTGGAAATGAAGTTGAAAAGAAATGTGATTGGTGATGAAAAGAAGAAAAGACAAAATTTAAAGAATAATTTGCTCTTCTTTGTGTGTTTGTGCTTTTTTTTATTATTTTTGATTGTTGAATAAGTGATAAATAATGAAATTTATATTAATGATAATATGATATAATGATCATAACCGGTGAAATGAAAGGTTTAAGGTGAAGAGTAAAGGCAAAAAAGGAGAAAAGTGTGAAATTGAACAAAAAAAATTAAGGAAAAGATTCCTTGTCAAAAAAAGTCTTATTTGAGCTTAGAGCTGTTATTTTGTCTTCCACAGGACTAGAGGTACGGCTAGTTGATTCAATGACTGATGAACCATTACTTGAGGACGATGGTGGCGATGAAACTGATGCTTGTAAAAATCGAGATTCATTCAATGGGAAAACAATGGTTCCACTGGCAAAGACGCAAAGACCAATCACATAAAACGTTGTATTATAATCACCAGAAATATCAAACAACCAGCCTGGAAACAAAGAAAAGTAAAGATCAGAAATAGTGAAAATCAAAATTAAAAGGTAAATAATAAACATTAACAAATGTTGATAAAATGTCTATCATTGATTAATCAATAATGTCTTTCAATTCATCTTTCAGATTATCACTGTACCTGCAATCGGAGGACCCAGCATGGAGGCGATTCCCTGGACCAGTAACATCAATCCATAGGCATTGGTAAATTTGTCCAGTGAAATTATGTCAACCAAAATTACGGAAACCAAAGTGTAGTTAGCACTAACGGAAAACCCATAAAAAGCGGCCAATACGGCAAGAAGATAGTAATTACGAGCCAGTGGAATCAAAGCCATTGAAATGCCTCCAAGAGCAGTTAAACCACTGTACCAGGTTGATGGTCTTAACCATGGTTTATCCCCAATATAGCCAACAATGATCTGAAACGTAGAAAATAAATGAAATTAATTTTATAAGAAAAAATCAATCAATTACAATCTGTAATACATTTAAATAACTTCAAACTTGATTTTCAAACAATGCGATTCACTAGACTTTGTTGCCACCAATCGATTGAAATAATTGATTGTTTCAAAGTATAATACAATTTACCATTGTTATAATTGGATAATCACAATTACACAACAGTTTTTAAACCATTTAACAGTTATAAAATACAAAATTTCATCAACAAATAATAAATTGTAACAAAAAATGCGACTCAGAAGTTATTTTAGTCAATGTTTCAAATTTCCGACTATATTTGGCTTTTATTATGGATAATTGTATTATTTAACTTTTTTCATTTGATTGAATTTATTTTCTTTCATGAAAAATATTCATTCTATTAATTCATCGAAGCGTCTACATGTCAGTGGTGAAATTACATTATGAATTTGAAACTCTTTCAATAATGTTCAATTCAATTCATTTTAGCAGTCTTTTGTCATTTTGAGCTGATAATCTTTGATCAAATCATTCAGATCTCAATTTATTGAAAGTTAAAAATGTCAATATTATTATTGATGTTGAAAAATTGGATAATATTGTATCAAAAGCCATTCCTGACACACTAATAATAATCGATTCTATTGATCAAAAGTCATCGTAAGATTAAATTAAATCAATTGTGAGAAGCGATCAATAACATCAAAATTTTGTAACCAATCAAAGTGATTTCGAATAATATTTTTCCTTTTCTTCAGCATTTATAAACAATGGAAATGAAATTTGTAACAAAAATAGATTCAATTGAATTTAGTGGAAGATGTCATTTTAACACTTTCATGGTTCAAAATTGATGGATTGAACAAGGTTTTCTTGCATGATCCTTTTCAAGGTAATACAGAAATAGGTATCAATTTCAATGGCTATAATCCTAAATTGTTTCAATAATGATGAATGAAAACTGCACATGAGAGGAAATTAAAGAGTAAAATGAATTTGTTTGGTGAAGATGTGGAGATGAAGATGAAAATGCTCCCTCTATGAGATGAGAATTAATTTCACCGAGAAAATGAGCAAAAAAAGGTTGAGTTGTTACCAAGGAAACAACCAGGAACTAAACCAGATAGGAACCAGATAATAAACCATCCCAATGAATGGGACTGTTAACATAAATAACAATGAGAAACATAAATACAGAATAGCCTAGAAATATCGATCTAAGAGTTTTTTTTGACTCTTCCGTATAACTTTTCGGTTCCTGGAGTAGACATGATGATGAAAAGGATGAGGCGACCTTCAATATCAGCCCATTGAGACACAAGACTGTTGTTAGATAATAACATCCCAAAGTTGCATGTGTCAAAGTGGAAGATGGAATGATGATAATCTAAGATTAAGTGATAATCTTTTTCATTAGACTGTAATACAAGATGTAATAATTTTAGTCTTGTCATCATCTTCATCGTCAGCTTCTACATGATAGAAATGTTTTGGTGTTTCTTTTTCTCTGTGATAAAGAAACTTCTTTAGCAATGTCAAGTGAAGGGGTTACTAATGTTATTTAATGAATACTAAAGCACAAGATTTATCTGAACAATTACAGTGAGAAAAAAAGATCCATTGAAATGTGCCAAAAAAGTTTTCGCTTCTGTGGCTGGTTTACATTTAGTTCAGAGTTAATCAAATGATTTGCTTGACCTTGCTGTAATAAACTATTACATGTTCACAATAAAAACTTTTCAAGTTTATGATTCAAAGAAAATTCAAGTCTTGTGCTTTCTCTGAATCTCTTTCACTGTCTATTTTTTCCCTTTTTCACAATCAAGTCACACAAGATGTAATCATGATTTACAAAACAAAAAGTTTCTACATTACAGCAGCAATTTGATAGTATTAACACGAACAGCTTAAGAGCATATTGGATTCGGTAATCAACATGATTATATCCTTGGCCTGAGTTGATTGCATAAAAAAGACATTCATTTTTGTCATTGTTCAGTTTTGCCAATCATTGATGAGCAATAAAGAAATTTCAAGGATTCCTGGATCATGGATAGATTGGAAATCTGGAATGTTGACTTAAAGATGGCAATACATTTATGATTACCACTAACATGGTTGGGTGAAAAAACGAAGGAAAATTAACGACAAACTGATGATTGGCTAAATTTTTGGGTTTTTTCTCATTCTCATCGATTACTTATATTACTTAATATAATGACAACAATAATAAAAAGAGTGAAAACTATCAAGACTCATTATGGAACCATAATTTGGATAACAACAGGATTGTAAAACTTGAATTATACTCAAGTATTTTAAATCTCATTTTGTAAACAAGTTTTATCAACAGAAACCTCACAATTAAGAAAAGTAAAAGGATTAAATCAAACATACTGTTCCAAGAGTGTTGGCAATCCCGAGAACTGAAATAAGATAAAAGGCCATCTCTTTGACACAAATTCCAGATGAAATGGCATGGTCCGGAAGATAGACATAGGGCACATCAATGCATCCGTGAAGTAGTAAATTGGAGAGGCAAAAGATAGTGAATCGTATATTTTTAAATATTGAAAGATCAACTGAATCAATTAGAACTTGTTTAATATCATAAAAGAAACTTTCTCTCTCTGATATGGCCACCATGGAGTTGTGAAAAATATCAGGGGCACTAGAAGATCGCAATCGGTAACGTCTTACATCACGAAATACGGCAGTTCGATACGTTAAACTTGCTCTTTGCATCTTTGATCCTAATAAGTCTTTACTTGTTCCTGGTGTTCCATTCAAGCCAACAACATTGGCATTACCAATGCCCACAACTTTCAATCGATTTGTGTTGTTACGCGGAAAACATGTTTCAATGTCAACTTTGACATGCTTCTTGGAATCAACTCCTTCCTTATTGTTGCTAATTGGAAGATTATTAGGGACATTATTAGGCTTCAAATTATCTGGCTCGGTTATAAGGTTGGATACACCTTGTTCTGACTCTGGGTCGTGTCCAATGGCTCTGGAGGAAAGGAATAATGACTTTTCTTGATCGCGATGATTAAGGATGGATAACAGGTTGGGATATTTTTGCAAGAGTTGATTAAGATTACCATCTTTTCGACCACTTATCTCGGCCAAAATATCTTTAGATACCAAACCGTTGTGAGTTATATAGGTAGGAATGTTAACAAGGGAAGAGTAATTTTTTAGATCACTTTTAGTTGTAGATGATGAGTAAGATGATTGAAATCGAAGGAGACGAGGGTTTGTTGAATTACAATTGTTGTGTTGGTGGGGATGAAAGTTGCAATTATTGTGAGCATATAGATGATCAGGTTGGTTTTGGAAGAGAGTTGATGTTGCCTGTTTGTCAGCAGGAAACATTGAGCTACAATGAGAATTGATACAATTTGACGAAAGAGGTTTATTTGATGATCCATTAGGCTTAGATTTAAATGAATCTGAATCATTTGGTAGTTTATTGACACAAAAAGGGATTTCTTCAACAATCGAAGGTATTGTGGTGGCTGCTAATTTAGTTGCTGACAAACCAGAGAGAGGAAAAATATTTTTATCGATTGAATGTCGAGATCCATCACAAGTTACATCTTTAGCACCAATACAAGTTCCATTTACAAAAGGTCCACAACAGTTTTGCTGAATTAAACCAGAATTGCGAATACTTAATGGTTCAATGACACTATCTTCATCTGAATCTGATTCCTGGCCATCGATAGAGTCAACTTCGGATACATTAATGTCTCTCATCAAGGCACCAAAGACAATTATGTTAAGAAAAAATCCGGACATTATGAGAAGTGTACCTCGCCATGAAAATTCATTTAAAAGATAGGTGGTTAATGGAGCAAATAGAAAAGTACCGATTCCAGTTCCACAAACAGCTAATCCTGTGGCTAGTGATCGCTTTGTATTGAAATAGTAGGCCACAATGACGATGGAAGTTACATAGGAGAGTGACAATCCAATACCAGTGATACTGAATGCAATGAACAAGTGTTCCAGTTTTCGAGCAAACGAACCCAAAATGAAACCAGAAGCGGATAAAAGGCCACTGACAATGGTCATAGTTCGACAACCATAACGATCAGTAAGTGCTGAGGCAATGGGACCAGTAAGAGCAGGCATACTAAGTAATAAGGAACCAACTAGGGCAGTTTTACCCTTACTCTGGCCAAAGTGTTTAGTCAGGTCCATTTGAAAGAAACCATAGGACAGAGAAACACCGTCAGCAATTAAACTAATCATGAAACTGGCAAAAACAACGACCCAACCCCAACCTCCATCAGGTGCCACTTGAGGTGGACCTCCACTTCGACTTTTACGACCACTTTTACTTGATGATTTATTTGAGCCACCAGAATCTGATGAGATCAATCGACGGACACAATTTACATTGTCACCTTTTCCATAACAATTGCAGCTGTTTTTATTTTGATTAAGATGTAAATGATTGTTGTTATTCACATTAACAACTCCATTATGATACGATGTTTCATCAAACTTAGCAAATGATGGTTTTTGATTGGCGTTGCTTAATTTACTATTGATAGTCACTTTATCGATGTCACTTTCTCTGAGTTTCTGGAAGATGGAAAACATTTTTTGATTAGAAAAGCTACTTTTGTTTTGTATTCTTGGTGAATAAATAAATATTTAAACGGACAACATCAGTTTCAATGTAAAGACAGGATAAAAACCTTTTCTATTGTTTATAAGGTAACAGTAAATCTCACGATTTTAAAATTGACTTTAGTTACTAAAAATAAGTTATTTCACATTGTTCATTGTTCAATATTATGATAGGCAGTGATCAAAGTGAAATAAAACTGATTTAAAAAGTGGAGTTATATTTAAAAGATATTTTGTGCACATTCAAAGTGTGTGACGGCAATAATTTTGCTATTATTACCGTCGATGAGAAGTTTTGTCAAACCAAGATTTGGTATTGATTGTCAATGGCACGATAATGATATTTTTTGTTCATTTTGAGAGGGAGAAAGAAAAAGGAAGGTCGATCAGGAGAAGAAGTAGAAAAGACAAAATTCAGAGAAATATGGTGAGTTACTATTGGAAAAGATGTGAAACTGAAAGACCTGTTTAAATTTATCCATAATGGGAATAATACCTTTTCTTGGTTGAATCGGGGAAACCTTTTCGATCTAGTAGCAAGGTCACTTAAACCATTTTCAGAATGACTGTGCGATTCACTTGAATTGACTTGATTAAGGTTGCTGCTGTTATTGCCCTGTTGTTCCGGGTTACAGTCATTGTTGCCATTATTGATGTTGATATTAACTTTATTAGCTTGATTATTAATGGTAAGATTATTATGGTTTCCGTTGGAAGCATTCACAATGTTAAGGATGCTGCTACTGTCACCATTGCCATTCATTTCCCGAGGTTGCTGATAAATATTGAGATGGGGATGAGAATCGGTGAAAATTTGTTCATTTTCATCTCCATTTCCCTGTTCATCATCTCCTTCTTCATCGTCATCGTCCTCATCATCACCATCATCTCCTTCATCATCAGGTATGATTGGTTGAGTATCACGTTTATCCAACAGTAAACACCGATCTGTTGGACATTTCTCACTACAATCTGTATCACCGTCAATTGAATTTTCCATAGTATTAAGAATTTAAATTGATGCAATATATAGTTGTAATTAAGCTTTAATGTTTCAATGTTGGATATAAATTGTCTAATTGAAATTGAATAGGGTTGATTACTAATCCACTTAGTAATTATATAATTGTGTTTGCTTGAAGTATTGCTTAGGAAGTTGTTATTTGTAGGTCTAATTGAGAGACTAATTAATGGTTGTAATTGTTGTTGATTTTCTTGTTGAGTTATCAATGAAATTGGTGTTGAATCACTGTGAACCAGAAATTGGTTGGTTAAAGTCAAACTGGAAAATAATGGTAATTGGTGTTGACAAAGATAAAACTTATCAAGTTGATGTGGCTGAATCGTATTCCTATCGCAAAAAACCACTAATTTTGCCATAGATTCGATCGAAAAAGTTATGATGACTGGTTAAATGGAGTTGATGATGTTTCTAGTTTTTTTTCAACAGGGAATTGCAAAAGGCTGACAGGGATGTTTCCTTTGAGAGACAATGGAATAGGTGAAAAAAAGAAAACACAAGCTTGATGTAAATGTCCTTAAGTAAGCACGACTTCAAGAGGCAATAACACGTTTGATTGTTTCTATCATAAAATTAATCACAGTTGAAGATGTTGACTATCACACACGTTTGAATGATCATGAATCTCACTTCTGTTTCTTCTTAGCTTTAGATGTCTTGCCTCTAAAAATTGAGTAAACAAAACGTAAGGGAAAAAAGTCGACAAAAAATGAAACAGTTGAGATTACAGCAAGCCAAAATACGTAAATAGATTGTTGTTGCTGGTGGTATTAATAATGATTTAGAAATACGTTCACAGTGGAAAAATAGAAACCAAAAAGGGATCAATTATCACGGCACTTTCGATTTGGTAAAGAATCAATTTATCGTCATTGATTCTCTGCTCCTTGGGTTATTACCATCAAGATGAATTATATCAAGCTCGTATCATATCATCAGGCATAGATAGACAGGCGACAGAAAATATTCATTAAGATGTATCAAGAATAAGGTAAATATCACAACAATGGGAATAAGATATAAAACACAGAAAGAAATCAATTATGGTTTTCTCCTGGTGTCTTAATGCATGGTAAATCGGTTGGTGTAAGTGATAGTTACCTAATGAAGATTAAATTATATAATCACAATATCAAAAGGCAAGAAGCTACTTGAAACAATCAGAAAATACCGAAAAAAACGGGTCAGGACAAAGGAAAAGGAGAGAAGGAAGAAAAAATACTTGAAAGAAAATGAAAAAATGAAATTAGGAAAGAAAGAACAGATGCAATGTTGTTTTGTTATCTGATGATTATGGTTAAATTTTTGGAGCTCCTGAAACCAGAACGATTAGGTTGAATAGTGAAGACTACAATTAAATTAATAGACACTTTTTGTATTTAACCATTGATTGTTATTTGATATAAAAAGGAAAGCGAAGGAATCAGATTGATGTAAATGGTGAGAATGTTTTTTGTTCACAAGCTTAAGCTGAGAATGATTTTTATAACAACAAAAAAATTGAACATTGAATTTGTGGCTGAAAAAAATAGACAGAGGTGAAGAGAGGATATTTCATAGACAGAAAGATGAGTAAGAGGGTGAAATGAGAGAAAGAAGGTTAGAGAGAGAAAATGTTACGAGCAAAATCAGGAGAGAATCAGAAGGAAAAGGGGAAGAATCATTGAAAGGGAAAGAGTTAAGGTAAATGTCTGGTGATTATTATCAGGGCTTTTCATTTTCTATGCAGTCATATTTTTAATCAAAAGCATAGATTTTATGCAGGCAAAAGACTTCAAATGCGGCAACCTTAGAAACACAAGTTCAATGCAAAAGAGAAATGAAAAAGTGAAATTTGGGTTCCTACTTTTTTCCTTATAAATTCTGGTTCTTCACCTTTTCAACAGATATGAACCCAATGGAATAAAATGACCAGAATTAAAGGTTCTTTCAATGTGAGGCTTGTAATTGGCGGAAATCTCAATTTCATTGCAAGACAATTGTTCAAGATTGAGGCTCAAGAAATTGCAAGACAAGCTATTCTTATCATAGACTCAACATGCAGTTACCATCGTCTTACCATCGATTACAGCTCTTATTTAAGTACTTTTTAACACTTATTGAAACACTTATTCAAGCACTTATTTCAACAATTAGTTAACACTTAATTCATCATTTGTAACAACTAATTGAATGATTGAAAATGCCCTTTGATCTTAACACTTTTACAAGTGGTTAACCTGTTAACGGACAAATGAAGGTTTGCAACTAGTAAAGCCTTTAACCGTTCAATGGTTTAATATGATCATAATGGAAGTAATTCAAGGAAAATGATTTAACAATCAAAGAGTTGCCTCAAGGTTGGAGGTTATTGTGCTTAAAAAATTAGCTAAATTAACAAATTGCTGGTGAAGCTTTAAACATTTTTGCTATTAATAAACATTGAGAGTGAAGCTGCAAAATTGGTTACAAATCAATATCCATTTCAATGGCGGATCTAAATTGTAATAACGAGATTTTAACCCAAGAATTTAATCGAAAATATTTGGATCATGTTAAGAATTTTATCATCACAATTCAACAATAGATCAATTCATTGATTGTTTGAACCAAATCTAGTAAATAATGGAAATCACCGGCGAAATGGATTAACAATAGGTTACACTGGGTTGTAATAAATGTAATAAAAGTAACTTGTTTGATTAGTGCATTTAATTAAAATCAATTTAAGGTAAAACATGACAAACAGAAAAGATCAAGTGCAAATATTTGATTGAAATTGCAATTAAATCATCTTCTATTATTGTGAATACGCAATTTTATCAATTGGAATGAAAGTTAATTGGGAATTTATTTTCAATTTATTGCCTTTTCGCCATTAAAACTTGATTTGAAGATTGTTATTGAAGTCAACTTAAATTACAACAAATTTCTGATCAAATTACAATTGAAATGTTACCTTGAAAAGTTAATTACCTTTGACTGTTTCACTTCCACTTCTGAATTGCTGAATCGCATCAAAAAGTAGCTTAAAGGCAACAGTTTAATATTCATTATCATATTCATTAAAAGAAATGATCACCTTTTTCATCGAGAAATAGACAAATCCAAAGTAAATTGTATTTACCTTCAGTTTCCATATCATACTCTGTTGATCAATCATCATTTAATAAGGTTAAACAATCAAAATTAACCATTGATTGTCTTTCATAGGGTTAAATGAGTCAAGATTTGATCTTAATTTTTTCCTTGATTTACGAAGGCCTAAAGGAGTCTAATTGACTTCAAAAATGCTATTGTTTTCATGAAAATCTTCAAGAACCAAATATTCAATGAAATATCACAATGAAATTAAAATCATTAAATATTGATATTACAACTATATGTACTAAATAATAATAAGTAAATAATGTTTCAAGGTAAATAACCGTTTAATGGTTTGCTTTTCACTGCTATTGTCTATCAGTTATGAAGTTAATTAATGAGTTAATCACTTTTAAATGTCCATTGACTTTAAATCAAACTGTAAATCATTTTAGCCTGCAATAATGGCTATAAATTTTTACTTGCAAAACCAAAAAGGCAACGTTTGGAGTATATTTTGATATAAACTTATAAATATAATATTATAATGATATAAATATTATATTTTTACATCAAAGTTGTAATCAATGATTTCAAAAGCATCAAAATAATCAAATTTTGTATTAAAAAGATAAAGTTACCTAAAAATTGGGTTTTAATGGAAATGTTGAGCATCTAGAAATAGCAGCTGATCCTTGACATTCAATTGGGAATATTTGGTTTAACATTGACTAAGATTGAAAAATATCATCAATTGTGTCAAGGATAAGATAAATTGCTACTGATTTATCAAATGCATTGTTATAATTGATAGTTTTTCATCAATTAAGGATTTCCAAGCTGATACTTTGTTGGACTTTTGGTTGCAAATTCAATCATTGGATTGATATTTATTGCGATCACAAATGATTCAATTATGTGTTGGATCTTAAATTGATTTTTTTGTTGCAATCACAGGTAAGTAATTCAATAAATTTATAAAATTAGTCGATCACATTAGTTGATAGCTAGTTTATTTCACTTCTTTATAAAAGCAATTATGAAAACTTATAACAATGCAATCATACGATAATCTTTCATTCAATAGTTCATACAAGACAATTACTTACAAATTGTTGTTAGCCAAAATCAATTTTAAATTAATATCAATTTGATATTTGTTTTTCGCAAGGTGTCCAGAGGTCTTAAGACAAGAGCTTAAGCTCTCTGGACTATTCAATCCACCCTTCCCCGTCGGATCACGGCTCCACAAAACTACAAGCGAGAACCACCTTTGTGAGGTTTTACTGTAGATGTATTATAAAATTATGTAATTATCTTTTAAATCAAGATCATTCTCATTATTTAATGAATGAAAATCCTTGTAATTGTTACAGTCGTGGGAATCGAGCTGATAATGTTCAATATTCAATTTTAACATATCTTGATCATTAACATTCAATTTTAATGTTGCCCCTATGTAGACAAGGCTTGGATGAACAAATTCAATTAAATCATAAAAATGAAATACAGTTTAGAAGGTAAACCTGTGAAAATTAAAATTGATGAGCATAAGAATGAGATAGTCTGATAGGTAAAGAGATGCTGATTTTTAATCTTTAAGACTAGAAATACATTATGATTTGTTTTGGTCATCTTTGTCTCATCCTGAAATACTGCAATAACACGAAGCTGGGTTTTGAGATTACGAGTTCCAAACCTTTATGAAAGTTTTAGCAGCCATCAAAAGAGTTAAATCTTTACTTTTAGATGAGTAGAAATTTTTCAGGATAATTTTCTGGACGAGGTGAAAGAAATGGCATGATATCGATTGAAAAGAATGGACTAGGTTTATTAAAGGGAAGGAATCAATTCATAAGAATAAGATAGAATATTCTGAACTAATTGACTTTTCTGTTAATCTAATTCGGAAGGTTCGGTAGTAAGGATTGATAGGATAGTGAGTGAGGTATGTTAATAATTAATTACTTTCTGCATGATTGTTGTTCTCATAAAGTCTACATGGAAAAATATTGTATCGTTTGTGAACTTTAGGAATTGTGTTTAAACTAAGTCTTAGTTGGAACAAAAAGGTTAACAAATAGGAAATTGACTGTCAAGAGTTGAGAAGAGGCACTGATTTCATGGTGATGATTGAAAATGCGTATTATAATTGTGATGTGAAAATGCAAACTTAAAAATGTAGAGTCGTTTGCATTCCAAGTCTTTTGTGAGTCCATTGGTAGTGAGTGGAATCATGTTGAAAAATTAATACTAGAACTTTTTTTGTTTTATAATGGATATTTCTTTGGCATTTTTGTCAAGCTTGAACAAGTGGCTCATCATCTGAATATTCGTAATCACTTCGTAAGGTTTTGTTATCTGCGAATAGAAATAAATTGTGTTTTAGAAATTTAAATTTATAAAGATTGACAAGAAATTAGAATATATTTTCTTACCAAATGTAACATTTATGGCGTATCGATTTGAATCAGATGGTGAAACGTGATAGTTACTTCTGACAACTTGCGTGGTTCGATCACAGGGACAGCCTTGGCAAAGGACAATCAGTCCGACCACAATAAAACAGAGAATTGTCATAATTAGAAATGCCAAAAGTGTTCCAATGCCATTAAGTCCCATTTGTTTTTTTGTATGTCTTCCAGAGTTTTCCGATCCACAAATGAGAGATTCGGGTTCCAAATTGTCGATACCTTGTTTACATCGATTGCCAAATACTTTTGTGTATCCTTTAGTTTTTAAGTATGCTTTGCCCAGTTGACAAGTTTCTTCTGGCGGTGCATCAGATCCTGGATCAGTTTGCTGACAAACTGAATGGGAAATATTATATGTGTAACCAAAATCACATTGGTAATCACTTGGAACACAATTACATGAATTTGATCTAATTGGCTTGTTAAGATCCCTACCATAATTTGAGCAATTGATATTGATTTTTTTTCTTTGAAAACCCATCTCACTTCCAAGGAGACATTTGGAATCAGGCTCATGAGGAGTCCAGAGTTGATAATCATCATTAGTACATGGTTTATTCATAATTGAAGATAAATCGATTCTGACAACAATCCAACCCTTCTTTTGTTGAGCAAGCTGACTTGAATTTAAACACAGAAGAATGAAAGATAACGATCTTCCCTCATTTAATGGCATTAGATGATAAACTGAAACATTTCTATCCGTAAAAGGTAGTTTACGCCAAGAGGAGCCATAATCCAATGAATAAAGAATTTCAGACGATCCTTCTTGATATAGATAACTTTTTACCGCAACAATAATGGACCCGGAATCAATTATATCAACAAAATAACGTTCAGATATGCTTGTTTTTATAAAAGAAAGTCCGGCATCACTTGAGACATAATAATTTGTCGATGTTTGGCTTGCATTTTTAGTTGAACTGATAATACCTGGGCTCAATATCAGACCGACTGCAGATTCTTTGGATAAAGAGGGTGGATGATAGTTAGATTTTGTAGAGTTGACAAGATGAGTTAAATGGAATGAACAATTCTGATTACAAGTTAGTTCTTTTCCATCAAGATCTTTAGGCCATGAAATCTTAGACCAAGTTGCACCATAATTATAAGTTATCACAGAAACCGATTCTTCGAAAGAATTTCCTTTGCTAGCAATATAAACTCCTTCTAAACCTTCAACTTTGTGAACATCTATGGTTCCTTGGTTTATTGGGTTTAGTTGTTTAGTAGATTTTGAGGATTTATGGAAAACATTTTGCAATGATAATTTGAATTCAACACCGGTAGAGTCAGAAATCAGCAAATCGGAAGTAAGATCACTGTGAACAACTCCCATCATGATGAAGTGCGAAGTTATGTCAATCAATTGATAATCCAGGCAGGTTTTATTAGTGATTGGTAAAATAACCTTATTAAAGTTTGCATCACCTGAAACCGATAGCCACAGTTCTCTATCACTTTGATGATTCGTAGATCCAAATTTAGCTGATTTACGAACTGCAAAAATGTATCGATTGTGAAGAATGAATTTCTCAATGTTTGTTAACACATTTCGCGTAGACTTGACTTTCAAGGTTTTATTGGCGGCAGCTTCCATAGTCAGAATGGATAAAGTACTTCCTCCATTTCGCGATTCAGTAATGAGAAATAAGGTTTGAATGGTTTCTCCTTGTTGGACTGATCCCCATGCAAATTGTTTTACATTCTCTGTAACTGCATGCCAATTGAATCCTCCATCGGATGAAATCCAAATCTGTAAAAAGCCGTCATCTTCATCATAAGCAGCAATCCAGTTGACTGAATAGGGACTGTAAACTATAAGAGAAGGTTTAAAGGAGACTTTAATTTTTTCAAATTCTTGTCCTGCCCTCGATGATACAAATATTAGCTTGTTGTTTACATCAGTCAATATGATGTGACCAGGTATAGTTGGGTGATGAAAAAAAGATGATACTACGGCCTTTTGACTATCGTTAACTTGTAAACCATGGATTTTATGGTACGTTGATCCTTCATCATAGCTTAAATAGAAGTTGCTACTGTTTGTTGATTTGGTCAAACAAAGGATTGTCGATCCAGATTGATCTATAACAAGTTGGTCATGATTGTCATCTAAAGATATTATTTTATGAAGTTCTCTTGTAATAAACGGTGCAGTGTGAGAGGAGATGGGTGGAGATGTTGTTGTTTTGGACGATTTGTTTGAAATTTTAACGGTTCCATCAATTAAAGCCAATGAGATTGACAACCCAGAAAGCAGAAATATACAGGGAAAGATGACTTTTGTGATGAATTGTGAAGTTGAAATAGTCTTTGAAGTAGAGATGGCCATGTTTCTTGGGAAGAACCAAGAAACAGTAATAAATTTTCAATAAATCAAGATTTACTGTTGATCTTATTTTATCACATATTTAAGATTTGACAATAATATTAAATTATGATGTTAAAAAATAAACGAAAAGACAACAAAAAGCCACTCGTTTACATATTTTGTCACCAACAAATCAAACAAGCTTTTATTTACATTACAAGAAAGAAGGAGTGTTTTGTCTTTTCAAAACACTCAGAGATGAAGCACAACAAGATTCTAGAGAGAGTAAAGAAACCTCTTTTTTGAATAACTTTTTTTAGTGGATATTTTTTACTAAAATTTTCTCTCAAATTTTATCACATTATAACATTGTTTAAAGTTTTAAATTGTATCAAATATGGTGAAAATTGGTGTTATTGGTGGAACTGGATTGGATGCTGATCTCAATATATTGAAAGATGTACAAATGATAAGTGTTCCTGTTACACCTTATGGTCAGCCATCAGATGATCAGGTTACCAGCGGGAAAATTGATAATGTTGATGTTGTTCTGATGAGTCGGCATGGAAAAAAACATGATCGTAACCCATCAGATGTTAACTATAGAGCCAATTTGTGGGCACTCAAGGAGCTTGGTTGTACTCATGTTTTGGTTACAAATGCTTGTGGATCTTTACAAGAGGAATTCAAGCCAGGCATGATTGCGATTGTGGACCAATATATCGACAGGTATTGACTGTTACATTTTCCTGATAAAGTGAATATCTAATTTAATTTATTGTTATTATTCTCCCGATAGAACAAAATCAAGACCTTCAACATTTTATAAGGTCATTCATATACCGCAAGCTCATCCTTTTGATAAGATAGTGCAAAAGATGATTGAAGAGGCATGTAAAGCTGTAGGAGCTGAATATCGACCTGGAGCTTGCATAGTGGCTGTTGAAGGCCCGCGCTTTTCCACTCTGGCAGAATCTAAGCTTTACAAATCATGGGGTGGAGATATTATTGGTATGACTACCGTGCCTGAGGCTCCATTAGCTGCTGAATTAGGCCTATTCTATAATTCCATAGGATTGATTACTGATTATGATTGTTGGCATGAAGATGAAGGGGAATCAGTTAATGTTGAATTGGTGGCTGCTCGAATGAAAATGCTTGCTGGGATATCAAGAAAAGTATTGATTGAAACAATTAAACGAATTGGAAAATATGATTGGTCCGAAAAAATTGCAGCCAAAACCAAAGAAGCTCAAGGTTCTATCATGTTCAAATGATATTAATGTGATCATAAGTTTATATGCAATAGCTTTGTTACTTTTCCAATAAGAAATAAAATGAATATGTAATTCTATAATGTGAGAGTTTGGTTCCAACCATTGATTTTCGGAAATCAGAGTTTCATTGCAAGACAATTGACTAACATAAATTTATCAAATTTAGCTGAGAAATCAAAATAATTTTATTCTAGTGATTGAATTATGTGTTTGTACTCGTATTTGTTTTTGTAATCACAGACGACTAATTCAAAAATTTTACATTATTTTTTAATACAATCAATTTATGACTTTAGGATGTGCCTTCATTCAGTGTTTCACTCACCTCACCTTTTGATAAAAAAATAATGAAAACTTAGTTAATTGAATATTAACGATAATTTTGATGATTCTTAATTAGTCCGTTGAGGCCAATTATCAAATTAATTTGCATCTCTAATCATTTATATGTCCATAGTATCATCATATCCAAGTTGAGTTGAGTTGAATGTACGCAAATGCTAGTAAAGATGGGTTATAAATTATTAGAAATGTGTTTTGTGGTTAAATTATTTTACCTTCAACTTTCGATACTTGTACTGATTAATTTAAATTGTGTTGCACATCAATTCAGATTTTATCCTCAATCATATCCATTTAATCATTCATCTTCATGTTTGGTAGCACTGTAATCAAGAACAAAGCTTTTGATCAATTCAAAGTGAACAAATTTGAATTTGTTTCTTAATAAACTTTCCCAGTTCTGAATAAATTATCTAATTTATTCAATTTTAAATTGGTTGAGCTTTGATCTTCCAAAATCCATAAAAAGAAATCCAATTAATTGACCGTCAAAAGCCATAAACAAAGATTCCTCTCAAAATTAATGGCATCCATTGAGAGCTACGAAAGAAAATTAACAAAATCTGAATTATGATTTCATTCAAAAACCATTTTGTTAATTACTCAACCAAAATTAATCAATATCAATTTGAAGTCTGTTTTCTCGCAAGGTGCGATAGAATGTAGGTGTAATTATCTTTGAAATCAAGATGATTTTCATTATTTAATAAATGAAATTCCGTGTAAATTTTTAAAATAGTGGCAATAGACTTGACAATGTCCAATGAGATTTATCAGCATATGTTCATCTTTCTTTTTCCAATGTTTGGCACCAACCTCATTTGAATTCACGGACTTTTTAGTCAAGTCAATTGGTAATTGAATTATCTCTCAAGTCACAAATGATGATTATCGTGATGTTTTGAGTTTTCAAGTCTTAATTGTACCAATCTAGTAAAAACAGATTTGTTGATTGATTTTTAGTACCTCAAGCTATGAAAATTATAACGAACGGGAATTAACTAATTACATGAGTTAGGACAGCTGGTGATTTTAAATTACTAGCATTTTCTTGAGAGGTATTTTCAGCCAAACCTTTGGCAAATGAATCAGCATTAAAATAGTTCGAGAATGGATGTGATGAAGGATAAGGATGTATTATAATCTGTTCAGTTCCTGGCGGTAATTTTTGACCATTGGGTAAAACTATTTCTTGAGTAGTTTTCAAATGAGTCATTGTAGGTCTAATAACTGGTGGCGGTGGTGGTGGAGATGACAATAACGATGAAACTGGTGCTGACTGTGGTGCAGGTGGTGGAGGTGGTGATTCACAATCAAAAGCATCTTCCCGATAAAATTCAGGTTCGGGAGATTTATTACTTGCAAGTATCATCTAGACAAAGGAATTGATAAATAGATGAATTGAAAGAGAAAGAAAATTAATTGTCAATTAAAGAAATAAAATATTTTCATATCAGAAGCTTACTTCATTTGCACTCAGAGGTGTACTTGGTACTATGACTTGGATTATTTCACTTGAATCATTGTTACCTGTCTCAGTGGCTGTTTCTTTTTTAACAAATACCTCAGCTGGTTCATTTGTGGTTATTTCGGAATTGATGAGAGTATCACTTGATTCAACTTCCATAGCCTCGGATACAATCTGTTAGAAAAAGAATAATAGAAAAATGAAAATGCGATAAGATTAGAGCGAAAATGTATATAAACAATTCTTAATTTCACAAGCAAATGTAAACTTGCAAGGGTACAAGGACAATAAATACCTTATCTTGATTCTCTGGATTTGCATCAACTTTTTCCTCTTTAATTGGTCGCATTTCGATACTTTTATTAGTATCATCGAAATTTGTTCCCATTGATTCTTGTACTCTATCTTTTAATTCGTTCATTACTTCAGCAATAACTGCATCTTTATATTGGTCACTCGATTCGTCTTCTTCTATGAATTCTGCCTTTGCAAGTTCGGGTTCAACTTTTGTAGGTACAGCTTCTGTAGGTGCAACTGTTGCAGGTAGAACTGTCGGAGGAACAGCGGTCAGAGATACATCGATCACAGGTACAGTGGTCAGAGGTACAGCAGTCAGAGGTACGGCAGCCGGAGGTACAACAGTTGGCGGTGTTGGTTGAACTTGATCGTATGGAATTGAAAGAACATTGTAGCCTTGGTTTTGGTACCAAGAAGATAGATCAGTTGTCCGATATTCACCAGATGTGCTGATATGATATTGTGCATAATAAGATGCAGAGTGAAGGTCTAGATTATAAGCTGACATATAATATTGTAAATACCACTGATAGTCTAAATTAACTGAATAAGTTGGACGAACTGTGGTTTCTTCTGCTTTAGAAGAGTTGGAATTTTCATTCTTGGCTGGCTCTTTTTTAACGGATCGTCTTATTTTACCAATAATTGGATATTTAGACATAAGTTTACTTTGATTAGACACTTCACTTCCTTTCTTAGCACGAACTTTATCGAGCAATTCCTTGGCAGTCATTTTTCTATTGCAGCTTTCTTCAGACTGCTTGGGTTTTTCACTATTATTTTCACCTGTCGTGTCCTTTGATTCTTGCACTGGTGTGGTGCACTTTTCTTCTTTAGGCTTTTCAGGAGCTTCTTCACTAGGTTCGGTTTTTATTTCTTTAATTTCACTTGGATTTATAGTTAAAGGATCTGTCACTTCTTTAGTTTCTGCAGCTTCTGTAACTTCTGCAGGTTCTGCGACTGTTGAGACTTCTTTGACTGCTGGTTTCAGAGTTTCATTTGACTCAGCTGGACACTTTTTAGAAGAGTAATAAGTAGCGATTGCATCCGTTTTCAATTCACTTTTCAACTTTTTCACTCCTTCCTTTTCGAGTTCTTTTTGTTGCTGTTTCTTTAATTTTTCAAGCACGCGCTTTTCAGAGGGCGATAGATCAACAAAATCAGGTTGTGGAGTTTCATTTTTCTCCACTTTGACGGAGTTAAGCTTAACTAATATCTTTTCAGGCTTTAAAGGGATGAATTTCTTCACGAATGGTTTACCAGTTTTCAAAGAATCGTAAGAAAATGATGCTAAGTCAGGGATGTTTCTAGCATTTACACTAAATTGAATAGAAGGTTTAGTTGAAGTATATTTGACTAATGAAGATGGATTTATGGAATCATTGCTGGTAGATTCTTTTTTGTGAGACGTTGAAGCTTTCGACGCAGGTGAAGAATCGCGTTTTCTTTTAGATTTTTCGCTCTTTTCCTTTCCCTTTTCCTTGTCTTTCTCCTTTTCCTTCTCCGTGTCTTTTTCCTTCTCTTTTTCCTTCTCTTTCACCTTCTCTTTACTTTTTTCTTTTGCTTTCTCTTTTTCTTTCTCTCTTTCCTTTTCTTTAATTTTCTCTTTCTCTTTATCCTTTTCTTTCTCTTTCTCTCTTTCTTTTTCTTTCTCTCTTTCCTTTTCTTTTTCTTTCTCCTTTTCTTTTTCTTTTTCTTTCTCTTTGCCTTTCTCTTTCTCTTTATCCTTTTCTCTGGTCTTATCTTTTTTCACTTTGTGTTTTTTTAGTTTGGACTTTTTGCTTGATTTCTTTTTCTTCTTTTTACGGCGTCCACTTGAATCACTTGAGTCTGAGTCACTAGAAGATGAATTTCTTTTGCGTTTGGAACGTTTCTTGCTAGATTTCTTCTTTCTTTTCTTCTTCTTGATTCTTTCCACATCACTGTCATCCGAGGATTTGCGACGCTTCCTTGAGACTTTATCCTTCTTTTTCGAGCTTGATTCTTTTTCCGGCTCCCCATCACCATCATTTCCTTCGACAGCTTCAATAACTATCCAATGGTCTTTAATAAATTCGAACTGTCCAGCCATAGTGTTTACTGAACAAACTAAACACAAGAAGAACTATGGAGAAAAGGATACAAGAAATGAAATATTTTACATACACTAGACTGTAGTGTCTTGAGTGGGCGTAAACTAAAACAAGAAACCTAGATTTAGTAGACACTTGACACAGATAATGAATTAATTTAAAATATTATTTACCTTGATGTGGAAACAAAATCACCATAAAATGTAATAATCAATAAAATAAATGATCAATAAACAGTCAGAAAGCAACTCAAATCACCATAAATTTATGACATGTGATCAAACCAGAGTCTCTGGCAGAGACTCGACTAGTGAACCTGATCCAAGTCGCATCTGGTAGCTATCTTTTCAAGTGGATCCTAGTCGATTTTAAGATGAAATTTCATTTAAAAGTTAACTGTTCAATTCATTCAAGGTAATTAGCAATCTATGATAAAGTAGAATCGATTGTTAGTAAAATTTAATCAAATGAAAGCTCCAGAAATCATAATTGCTAATAAAATAAAAGGTTTAGATATTTTGACTGGATCCTCAACATCGATTGAAGTGACAATTGAATAACGAACTTAATTTCATTAAAACTTTAATGTCAACCTTTGTCTTCCAGCTCAATGAGTTCAGGAACAGTTGTTGTTTCATTTGATTGATTTTTAAAGTTCATTTTAATCTCTAAAATTAATAAATTGCTCGAAATTGAAAGTAAATTACAAAAAAGTATGTGCTGCTATCTAGAGTGAAATGAAAAATACTCAACTCATTTCTGACTCAATTCTATATCGTTATTCAATATTTATTTATTTTTGAAAATCCATTGTTTTTGATTTGCAATTTGATTCACTTTTTGTCATTTCTTTCTGTTAATGATTATTGTCACGATTACAAGTGATTTTCCGCATATTGTTTCAAGTAAAAGTTGTCCACAGTAAGTTAACAGTTGACCTTTAATAAGAAAGTTAAATTATCAAGTGTATCTCAACAAAGCGACATTTTGATTTTCAAGAAAAAAAACAAAAGCTTCTTCTGATTTTTTCAAATCGTTTGCTAATCATTAATTGATGCTTAAAATTTGAAATTTTGTTAATTGAGGCAACAAACCCTGACTATAGTGTTAATTTTGTTGTCTTGGTGTCAATTTCATTGGTGCATTGATATTAATAGTTTATTTGTTTTTGTTGCTTCTCTTCTTTGCTGTCTTTCCATCAACTATTCATCTTGCGAGAAGAAATTAACACAGAGAGGAAGGAAAAAGTTCCCAAGAGCTGCTCTGATGAAGCTAAAGTTAAAACTATGAAAGAAGACCTAACCGGAGGCCAGCCAGATAAAGATGACGAAAATAAGGATAAGTCCAAAAGCAAAAGAAATCGCAATTCACCATGGAAGCTCGATGACATCAAATGGTTTTTTGAAGCTTTATCAGAGTATGGAAAAGATTTCAGCTCCATTCAAACTTACATTGCTTCAAGGGTTGATAAGAAAGTTTCCAATCCACCGGAGCAAGTTAAAAATCGTGAACAAGTTCGCCACTATTATTACCGAACCTGGCACAAAATATCATCAGTTCTCACCTTTCCAGAATGTAATTATAATCAATTTTCATTTCAAATACCTTAGCTATAATTTCGTTTCAGTTCACAACTTTATTTTGTTTCATGAATTTTCATGATTTCTTATTTTTCTCAGTTAATTTTTTTACCATTGATTTAACCTTTACATCTTAATCTTTATCCTACTACCATTATTAGATCTCGATAAACAAACTCAAGAAATTTATGGTCTTATAAATTTTGGCGAAATTTGGAAAAAGTTAGGTTCTAAATCAGAAGCTAAACTTAAACTCCATCTTAATGAACTTGTCAATACTGGGTAAGTACTTTTATTTTCATAATTTAGATTATTCATTTATACTTTTTAGCAGGATTATATTTTGATAATTTTTCATTCATGATAGTTTTTCGTATAGATCTCCAAATCCGTTCTTATAGTAATTCAGTATTGCTATGCAAGCTTTTGGACAAAATAAGCTAAACATATTTCTTTTTAGTATTTTATGTTTTTATCTTACTATTAGTATTAGTATTAAACTAAAGTTATAGATTTCTGTCATCATGCATTTGATACTGATTATGTTAAATCTTTGTTACTAGATTCAACCTTAAAGAGTTTTTGTTCATGTGTCATCAGACACTTTCATCTAGCTTTCAATCAGCTGATTCATACCATTAACAATATTTGACTATTAATATTTCTTTCTCTTTATTTTGTCTTTCTTAACCTGTCCCATTAGTCAAACAGTCGTCAAATTTAAGGGCAAAAATCTTAAAATTAAAACCCCTGTCTGTAAAGCATTGAAAAAACTTCATAAATTAGATGATCACCCATCTTCATCATCAAATGTAAACAATCTACCAAAGGAAATTGTCATTGAATTACATCCAGCTACTAATGATTCCTGGCTACGCGTTCATTCTTTGGCCCAAAATCCAAGGATAAGAATACGATCACCTTTACAAAAAAGGCTATCAGAACTTATAGGTTACTTAGAAAGGAGATGGTCTACCTCGAGAGCAAGGAATTTAATAATGGTCAATCATAATCGTAGTAGCTCACCAACGATGGAACTGGAACCAGAAAAACTTCGCGTTTTCATTCACTCGTCTCTTTTAGATGACCTCTCAGGAATTGTCATAAAACGAGTTCCGTTGAATTTCAATTCTCAAATCGACCTCAGTTTAAGTGCCTACCTCCAAAAGTTTCATCAGAATGGCAAAGAAATACCTGAAAAGAGAAAAAAAAGTGTTGCCAGTTTGTCATCGGGTTCTTCGAGTAAGGCAAAATCTAATGAAGCTATCACCGTCAATGAGGCCAAAGACTCATCATCATCTATCTCAAATCAAAGTAAAGATGGCGAAGCAAGTAAAGTGAAAAATTCTGAGCTTAAATCTGATACGGAACCTGATAAAGTTATGGATGTCGATGAAAAATCAAATTTACCACCTATTGCTGAGACTGTACGATCGCTTTCTATGTTGAAAGATATGCTTGACTCTGCAAACAGTGAAGTAGTTCATGAAGTAGAAACTGATACTGGTACAACAGCAAGTAGCTCAAAACATGAAGAGGAAAATAATCTCAATACAAGGGCTGATTTTCATGATGAGTCCTCTAAATTGGAGGCTAAAAACTCAAACACTATTTTGCCACTGCCACCTGCGAATGCAACAATCGGTGAATGGTTAGGAGCTTTTCTCGCGAATGGTCATGACAATGACAGTAATAACGAGAGTTCCAAAGAAGAGGAGAGTAAAGGTGAACCAGTTAAAGAAAAAGAAAAAGAAAAAGAAAAAGAGAAACATTCAAAAATAAGCACCAATGAACCCGAAGCCAATCCTGTTTCTAGTGAAGATAAATATCAAACAGTCAGTCATGAGATTGGAATTGATACTCTGAAGAAAGGTTGGACCACCGAAACTACTGATCTCCTTGTAGGTGAATTGTATTTAATGATGAAAAATCCTGAGAAAATTATTCTCGAATATGATTGGATTAAAAAGCAGGAAGACGACGATTACCTAGAAAAGACTATTGATGAAATCAAAAGTGAAAATACAACTCAAACTGTGCTGGACAAATTATTCACAGTGGCTTCTATAGCCTTACTAAACATAAAAAATCAACAAATTGGAGGAGATACTAATCTCGTACTTTCACCTGTAAAAAGTAAATCTTATTCACGTAAAAATAAGCGTTTAAAATTAGGTTCACCTCCTCCTCCTTCATCACAAACTCAACCATCACCTTCACAATCTTCTTCATTGTTAAAATTATCATCATCACCATCATCAACAACAACCTTAATCGCAGCCGCAGCCTCCTCATCTTTATCACAACCTCAATTAACACAAGTTCATTCTTCTTCCACCATAAATTCATCTTCATCGACCATGGTGCAAGACAGAATTGTTTCTGACTCACTTTCATCACCAAACATACTTTCCAATCTTATATCAGACACTATACTTAATGATAATATTTACTCCGAAATAAGCAGCAGTATCTGTGTTAGCAGCAGCAGTAAACCTATGGAAAGAGATTATTCAACTGATCCTTCAAGTCCACCCAAAATTGATCCATCTCAGTGGTTCAGCAATTTTCAAGCTTCTAGCTCACCAGCACTCAAAATTTCAACCAAACCAAGCAAACCCGTTCGTTGTAATGATCCAGCTCTTCTTCAGGAAGCCATTAAGCAATTAAATTCCAATAAATTTAATACCCGAAAACAATTACGAAAACCAACACCTAAACCAACATTCATTGCTAAGTCTTCTGTTGTTTCAAGATGCCCACCGAATGTCATTGGTGTCACATTTCCCGCTGGACAAGCAACGACAAACCAAATAATTACATCTCCGTCAATCATTAACCAGGTTGTAAAGTCTGTAAATCCTGTATTAACATCACAATTAACTGGTCAAACGGTTCAAATTCCTATGGTAATACCATCATCGGAGGGTAACATTGTTGTTAGTCAAGCTTCTGTTCCTGCAAGTTTCTTGGCGAATCCTGATTCTTGTTAACCTGTTTAATATATTTACATTATTAGATAGAAACGAAAGATTATCACACCGCATCTGTTAAACTGAATCTTCTCGATGAAATTGTTAATAACAACATCGTTTCTCAATATCATACCGAAATTAGCAGATAATCTTGATTGTATGAATTTAAAGACACAACTAACGCACCTGCAAAAGATGAAGAAGGCAATATCCAATTTAACTCGTTAAAATTCTGTCAAAACAATGAATATAAAAACCAAATCTCAAACTAAATGATCAGTATATAATTTAGGAATTGTTTCTTGTCTGCTTGAAAAGATTATACAAGGATGGATATCTCTTTTGGAAATCAAACATTCAATAATCATCGTCAAAGATACTCTGCATGTCTCTTTATATAAATTATAAATATGTATACACCACCTCAAAATTTAATTTATGACACCTTTGGATATCTTTCTGTGGATCAATCCTGCTTTTCAGTTTTATAACACAATTAGCTAACTTTAATTGGCATAACTAATCAAAAAATGAATTGACTCAACTTGTTAAAGTTAGATGAGATTTGATTGTGTCTATGTATCTAACAATTGTAAGTCAGGAGAAGCGGAAAAGATATTAAAAGCTGTCACATCTCAAAGCCGAGGTTGTACATTGTCAATGTCTGGAAACATCTATTCATACTAATTACTTTCTTAATAACTGTCTCTTTCATGTTCCCCTTTCATTTGTCAATGCCAATTCAGCACCAAAAAACACTTTATTCCCCACAACTAAATTACAATATTCACTGTGTATAGCTCAAGTTGAGAAGAAAAATGAACTGAAGCATGTTTTCTTTCTGTCTTTTTCTTCTTTCCATTTCATGCCTAACCAAATCAACAACGCCAATAACAACAAATGAAGCTTAATTGTAAAATAATTACGTATCATAGTTTGTTTCAATTTAAAACATAATAGTACAACCGTATAATTGACAATCAACCTTTTCATGTCAACTCGCAGTTGGTCAACAACAAGAAAACAAAACAAAATTATTATCAGACAATAAATGGTTGATGACTAAAAAAGAAGTAAAAATAAACTCAAGAATCATTATATACTCTTATAATCATTCAAAGTCAATATAAATCCATATTTATTACAATAATCTTACATCCAACTGACAGTAAATGACACTTATTTATACCAATGAGCTTTTAATTGTCACCTTGATTTGACTTGACAAAAAAGCAACTAATCAACAGTCTGTTGAGGATATAAATTAAAATTAGATGAACAATTTACCATGAAAGATTGTCTTTAAACTCGCAGTTGAAGCCTTAAATCACTTTTACAGATAGTAATGTAAAATTAATCATATCCGAAGTGTTCATAAATTGTTTAAACCGTATTGACTACAATTTAACTATAAAAAGACTTCAATTAACATTAAAATACTCTGTAGGCAAAGTATTACAACGCACACAATTAAACCTTGAACATAACTAACATATCCAATCTTGAACCATCTTTGTTAATCACATTTTGTTAATTGTATTTATTCGTTGTTTCATATAATCGTGATTAACTTGATTAAAATTGTGAACATAAAAGTCTATCTCTAATTAAATTAGGTAAACATGCAAACTATAATTATTTTAATACTCTCATGTTAACATAACTGCACATTGCTGTAAGATGAAAGTAAATTAATTGTTTATTGTCTTTAATCAGCTGAACTAACTTGATTGTAAACTGTTGAGATTGAGAATGTAATTAGTCTAGATTACTGTTTAACCATCATTAATCAAATTGTAAACCCTGTTAAGTTACTAAATTGATTAAACAAGTTGTCAGTCTTTTAAAGTGAAAAGGTTTGACGATTGGTTTGGGTTATATTCAAGTTAAGATCAACATTTGAGGCCACAAAACTGTACAACAATTTATCAATGTCTGTTGATTGTATTGACATATTGTAATCAACATTAAATTGTTTGTAAAGAGTTATGATAGATGACAAGATATAAATAAATGTAAACCACTCTGACTTTAGCCGTAAAGAACCGTATTTTTATCCTTGAAAGGACTAAATTAATCTGATTTTATATGAAAACAAATTAATCAAAATTCAACAAATAGATGGTTTGATTAATTGAGATGCATTGAGGTAAGTTTTCATCTTAAAATGTTGTTCGATACGTTGCTTGATTGAATGGTTACAAATCAATTACTGAGAGCATTTTGATTTCTCTCATTTTCCATGATTATCGATCAAATTTACTCTCTAATATTAAGTATTAGCCATTAAACATTGTAAATAAACATTCTCATCTTTCCTTGATTTCATAAATTAAATTGTAACTGGAGTAATTCAAGTGTTTGGATATTGAATGATGGCAGGTTTCATGTAATTAATCCACAGATTTGTTATCAACTTTGCACAGCTTAACTCAAGTATAAATAATTACTCCAATTGTAGATCAAAGTAAATTTAGTTGAATCACGCCTAATTTAGTTCAAATTATCGTAATATAATAAGCAAGATTGCCCTTTAACAGTAATTTAATTTACAGTATGTAGTGATCAAAATGGAAACACAAATTTTGAAAGAAACTCAACTATAAATTACTCGATGAGGCTTAACCCAAACCTAATCTTGGGTGTTGAATTTTAAGCTCATTTGAATATGAATGTAATGATGAACTATTAAAGTTGAACGATTAACAACCGAAAAGCGTATGGATTTGTTGAGAAATTGATTTAGCTTTATTGTGATGGAATTGCGCCTTTCTTGGGGATAACACATCATTGATCAGTTATTGATTGTGCTTTTCATTATTGACAAACCTCCAGTATTTTTAAAATGATTGCTATGACGGCGATGATGAATCTCATTGATTACCTCTTCAGCCATGGTTTAGTCACTCCATAATGTTAACAATTGAAGTTAACAGTGTTTTTCCCTTTGAACTTTCATCAGCCATTAATGTAAAATTGAATTGTCCATGATGAACAGGTTCAACCAGAAACGATCATCAGAACATTAAACTGTCTTCATTGATCACCATCCATTATTGTTACATCCATTAAGCAGTAAATTTTTTAAAATTAGTTTGGTCAAATATAAACGTTGCTTGATTGGATTGAATGGACTGAAAAATGTTAACAATCAAGTTAAGATCACTTGATAATCTCATCCAATTAAAAGTTGAAGTTTCAAGTGAAATGTTCAAACTGACCCAATCAACCGTTCAGTTTTGCGATTTAAAAGCAACAGTAAATCTCAAAATAACAATGTCAGTCCATTGCTCAGCTAATGGGTTGTTAAATCGGTTGTATGTTGCAGACAAACAAGTTGTAGATCAAATGATTGCATCAGAAATGTTCAGGTAACAATTGTCTCATCACCTCTTCATCATTAGCATAACCATTATCAAAAATGATTTTAATATGAATTATATGCTTGAGAATCACGTTTAGGTGCTATTTAAGCCGTCTTTTGATCTTTTAATATCCAATGCAACCATCATTTTTGTACCCAAAAACCTTCATTTTTAGTATTACAATGGATTCCGTTGGGTCCCGTTAATAGCCAGTGACAGATTTAAATTGGGTTGTGGGTCGATTATGACAATCATTAACAGTCCATGATTACTGATGTTAATGTTGGTTAATTTAAGGTGCTTCAATGTTTGATAACAGAGCTGATACTTGTTAAAGGTCAATCGTGAGGTGAAAAAAATAAAACATGATCCTAAATGTGTGATAACGATGCTACAGTGAAGAAATCAAAAAATAACAAAACACTATTAGCAACATTTTTAGTTAATTTATAAAATTAACACTTAACCGTATCAAAAACTCAGCAGGTTTTGAGCATAGGTAACAATGGAATCGCATTTTGGGGACAAAAAGCTCAGCATTCTCCAATCTTTTAGACCAGATTTTCATCTTCCATGGTTGATCCATAATGTGACTGTAAATAAGAGAGATATTAGGAAGAGAAGAAGAAGAAGACAAGGGTGAGAGTGGGTTTCTCATGATAATTAAAGATCTAAATTACACTTTTTAACCACCATAAGAGTCTCTCGACTGTAAACAATTATTTTTTTTCTGCATCATCATCATAATCATCATCAGCAACAAGAGCAACAACATCATCACCATAAACAGCTTCAACAGTAACTTACCCTGACCATGGTTTTTGGTTACAACAGATCAGAAAAAAATGAAGAGCAAAGTTACAGGCTTTGTGTTGAAGAAAATGATTTGAATCATGTTGATGGGATTTTTAATCTTTTCAGCTATTGTGTTAATGATGATGATGATGAATGAAGAGAAAAAAAACAGTAATAATCTTAATACAATTGAGATATCGAAGAAACTATTCTCCTTTTGATTTCATCAAATGTTTTTCATCCATTTTTCTTGTTCCTCTTTTTTGCCATACGCGTTCATCGCCATTTTTTGTTACTTCTTTGTGTTTTTTTCCTCACACCTTACATTTGTTCAATGGTTATTATTTTGATGATGACGAGCTCTCCCATCAAGATGAGTTACCATTGATAAACAGGTTACTGAACATCAGGGGAAGCAAAGGTAACAGTAGCAAAGGTAACTTGTATGTAACAGTCCTTGAAGTTGAACATTTTACGTTTACTCAGCTTGAAAATTATTTGCCTCTTTTTTTGTTTTCATTAACGTTTAGGCCCACCATTGAAATTATCATGGTAATAACAGCAATAACCATAATCCTTACAATTATTATAATCATTGGCAGTAGCAGTAGCAGCAAAAACTGTAAAAGTCCAACAACCAAAACTTGAAGCAAATGCTGGTTTCACTCATTTCATACACTTGTGATCATCTAAATGAATATGGCAAGTTACATTGACCCATAGTTTCCTTTTGTTACATTTATAATTACTCTTTCTCATTCATTAGCAAGTTGATGACTTATGACTTGATAATTTTTGATGATTGAAAAGATCAGCTGTTCACCTTGATCCATCCAAAACCGCCAAATAGTGTAATACGATGAAAAAGGCGACATTTATTGGGATTTATGCAGTTTCTGGTGTTCATAACTCAACCCGCAATGAGATCAAAGTTTGAGTGTGACTTGAAAGTTAATCAACTGAAACTTGAAGTGAACTTGAAAGAAATAATCTGCATAAATTGTAGACGGAAGTTATTCTGCTGAGTTTGGATGAAGGACAGGCAAGACAACAGCCACAACCAATAACAGAATAGTGAAGGAAGAGGAACTTTTATGTATTGTCTCTATTGGTTTGTTATGATTATAATAATTGACTGTTTATTTGCTATTTTGTCTGCTGCAAGTTGTAATTGTTGTTGATTTCATAGTGAAATGAGTGATGTTAACATTTTCTGGTTTACAGTTGTTGTTCAGTAAAACCATAATTTGCAAGGTTGACCGAATCCAAGTATTATCAGGTTGATCATGAGTCTAATTATGAAACAAAACAGTCGAGTTAGACACAATAACACCAGTCAGGGTAAAAAAATGGTTATCCCAATTAACCAAGAGAATTCAGTGAAACATTTATTGTTAAACTTCGTGATTTGCATTTGTTCAACAATTAAAATTTAATTCAACTTTTACCAATGTTGCAATTGAAACCGCTGTCTGTAACTAACAGGGTCAAGTAATAGTAGCTGTTAATCAGTTGATTGTTAACCATTCTATGCCAGAAAAGCACGTCCGTTGAAACCCAAAGAGCTTAAAACAGTCTTATCCTTGGTCTTTGTTGAAAATCTCATGAATTTCTGATTTCTCATTGATCCAACTTTGGTATCAACAACCTTTAAGTTGCTTTATCATTTCAAAGGAGATTGATTCTTGATTCAGCAATAATTATCATCACCATTTGCTTCCGTTATTTTTTAAAAAGTTTGCACCAGAAATCGTTATAAATCCAGAATTGCCATAATTGTCAAAAGATTTGAGCGAGAATTGGGTAGCAAATGAGAAACAATTGCAAGAAGCTTTGCTTGGGTTTCACTGGTTTGGTTATTTTTGCCTCTTGGTTAGGTCAAAATGGTGTAAACGGAGAAGCAAAATAGATTAAGTCGATGATGATGGTGATGAAGAGAGAGAGGATGGATGACAATTTGGATGTTGGCCAGATTCACATATTAAAAAAGGGAACTTGGCCATTTTTAAAACAAGGAAGATGCTCTTAATGCGCCAGAGAAAGACAGTTTAAATAATCATTTGGACTCTATTGTAGGCCTGAGAACCTCCAATTTTCAAGATGGCAAAGTTAATCCAGTTATTCCTGGTCCTACTAGACTCTTTAACCGTCTTTATCCAGTTGAAAAAAAAAATTGAGTACCAATTCAGTCAACAGTAGTCAACTCTTTGTAAATGTCAACTTTTACATTATGGTGGAAAGTGAAGAAAAAACAAAAGAGAATAAAAAAGAGAAACTTAATTTTCTAAAATTTCAATTAATTGGCATTGATTTAAACGTTAATTGTTGAAACAAAAAATGAAATTAAATTGTTAACAGACAAACACAAAAAATCAAGTAATTCAACAAATTGCGTCTAAAGGTACTGAAAAAACACCAGCAAAACATATTTGGTAAAAGACCATAATACATTTAACCTTGTCACTTGTACACCAGATTAACCTTTCATTTTTTACTGCTACTTCTATTGCTACCGGAGTCGTTAAGTCTGCATACAGTAAGTTGAAAAAAATGGTAAATAAAATAAACATTTTTGTTAACAAATTGTTAATCAAATGGCAGTTAAAATAATCAAATGTTGTGTACGACTATCCAAGCCAACATTATGGTCACAGCTAGATGATGATGAAAAGGTCATCCTTTATCTTCTGGTTAAATGAGAGGGAAAATGAAAAGAGTAAATCAAATCTATTGTCGACTCGGGTTAACTCAAACATGAATCCTAAGATTAACCCAAAGAAACCCAATTTCAAGAAAAATTTCAATTCTCTTTCTATTTTCCAGAGAACCAATCATTTCTCTCTTACATTATCTTCAATTGTCTTTCTCTCATCATGGACGCCATCATCTTCACCATTTTGATCATTATTTAAATCATGAATTTTTTAAAATTAATTTTCACTTGTCAGCCACAACAAATGTTAGCCTAAAAATGTCTTAATCTCAAGTCCAGCTCAACATGATTTTATTTCCTCTTCTCCCACCCTCTTTCTCCCTCCTCCACGCCCGCTCACTCTTATCATCATCATTCTCTTTCTCTATTTTCCTCTTCAACTCGTGTTGCCTTAAACACGCGTTGACTCTCTTTCAATTTTACTGTCAGTCTTTTTTTCTCTTCCCTCTTTACTTTCTCATTATCTTCTCTTTCTTATTTCCATTCTCTCTCTCTCTTCCACTCTTTCATTATTTCTCTTTTTCTCCGAGTGACAGTCAGACTCCTTCAAACTCCTTTTCATCTTATAGCTTAGGTGATGAAGATCAGCATCTCTATTCAATCTACCATTGATTTCTTCCCTCTCATCATCTTCATTTCTCCCTTGCTTATTGTCAAAGTTTCTGGGTTACCGGTTAGGTTTATGCGCTAACAGGGTTTCCTCTCTTCTCCTTTCTTCTCTCTCTTCTGGTCTCTCTGGTCTCTTTTCCCTCTCTCTCCCTGATTTTCAACATTTGTTTACATCATTTTATACTGATCTTCGGAGAGGTTAAGGGCTTCTCTTGTTTTCCATTTTTCTTCTCTCATTTTCACTTTCTTTTTCCTATTTTTTTTAATTTTCTTTTTACAATCCTTTTCCTCTCTATCCAAGCTTCAATTTTACCATCAACTTATTCATCAAAATTGTGATCTTGTTTTTCTGTGTACCTCTGTAACTGCCAATATGCTGTGTGTACATATCTTATCCTCCTACAACATACAAAGTATATAACATATCTTTTACCTTTTTTGCTTATTCCTTCTTAACTCTCCATCTTATCACCTTGACAGTGATATTTTTTTGTCTAACCAATCTTTCATACTTAAACCGTTACACATTGGTTTCTTATTATATGTAAGTTAATTGCCATGGAAACACTGTTAATTAACTACGAGAGAAAAGAAAATGTTGGTAAATGTTCCACTGAATCAACCTTGATAGAGCCTTTAATTGGAGTCGGTTCTTCAACTAGTGTTAACCTGGTCTCTGGTATTAAAATAAATAATAACCACATCTTTAACAGTAAACATCAAGACCAGGAAAAGCAACATCTAAGTTCAAATGGGATTAATAAGTTGCTTCGGAAAAGTGTTTCTTTACCATTGGAACCTTGTACTGATGAACCAGATTCATCGTTAAACCAAACCGCCAATGATGACACCGATACTCACCGTAACAGTGTAAACAATAAATCATCGATAACAATGTTGAGAGATAAGGGTTACCTGAATATGGCGACATTTACTCGCAACACTGGCAATGGATTAAGTGAATATCGAGATTGTTACAGTGATTCTAATACACCAGTTAAAACCATTTCTCCTGGTCAATTGTTTAATAATCATGATAATGGTTTGTTAACATGTCAACCAGCCAAATTTTCATCACCAACAGAGACATCACCTCAACAATCATCATTACCAACTGAAACCGAAACACCACCAACAACAAGCGAATTATTCCATTCTCGATTTAATGGATCTTCCTTTTCACCATCACCACCATTAACATCTACACCTTCAATCAATAATTGTAACAGCCAATCCTCTTCAACTCGTTCCATGGTTAATGACCATTTATCTGTTTCGTATTTGGCTGACCATGATGTTGACAGTGGACCTAAAAGCTTACCAACTTTCAGTTCAACCCTGTCTTCACCATCTTCTGGAACATCATCAACCTCTTTAACCAACAAAGAGTCTCTCTACTCTGGTTCTGGTTCCATTGATGATGGATTATTAACCCATAATGGTTCCATTGTTTGGGATCGAGAGTCTGATTGGATCCTATTGTTTGATGAAATGTTAAAGCTTAAAGGAACCAACAGGCAAGGCTCAGAAGATTGCATTTGTCGGCGTAAATATTCCGACTCTCTCCGAATCAAAGGTAAGATAATATATCCTCTTTTAATCACCATAAAACCTTATTACCTTGTCACACTAAATCACAACCAGATTGTTATAATGAGTCTCAAGTAACTTCACTTTAATTTTCAATTGGATAACCTTCAATCAAATTAACCATTTGTTTTACTGAAAACCTTGTTGACTCAATATTTTGAAAATATTTCAAATCAGCTTGACCATTTTAATTGTATTCATAATTTTTTTATTTGTCTACTTATGTTCATCATTGTCAACACTCAATATGCCTTTTTAAATATTTGTGTGACCAATTAATTAATAATTTTACCATGGGAAATCAAATAAATGAATCAAGTTCTTTCTGACAGTTTCTTATAAACAGTGAAATCACCATTTGATATTTACTTTGATGTCTAAAATCAATACAAATGAAACATTGTATTAAGTGTTGATAATTTACCTTAAAAACAACCTTTTTATTCATGAATCATGAACAACTTTATTTACTGTTTTTTTTGGTGAATCTCATTTGAAGGTGAAATTAATTGACAAAAGGTAAAGTGCTTGCGATATTTTCAAAATATTTAATCTTGGTTCACCTACTTTCTGACGATTATCATCGACATCATCACCATAATCATCATTAGCTTGATCATTATAAGAAATGGTTACAATTTAATTCAACACATCCATTTTGTCGCAAACTGTCATTGAGAAGATCCAAATTATTTTAGGTGAAATCAAAAATAACCAGTTGATGAAGTGATTAAACAGATGACAATCGCAACTGTAAATTATCCTCTTAATGATAATCATAATGATGATTTACTCAGGACAATGATTTTGTATGTTAACCTTCTTCTCCATAACAGCCATGAAATGTTTCAAATGTCAGTTGACTTTAAATTATTGGACAATTAAAAAACTGACAATTTGGCAAAAGATCAACCCAAGAATATCAGTGATTCTCAAGGAAAATAAGAGTGAAATTTGATGATAATCTGAATATTAGACGTAAAAATTATCCATTTTTTAGTCATAACTTGCCAAATGATTAAGTTATCCATCATTATTAAATAATAGGAAAAAGATATGAAAACATGGCGAAATGAAAGCCTTTTTTCCCTTCATGATTGTTGATAGTTGTGTGTTGAGGATGAATTAACCGAGCGTAACTGGTTCCTCTTTTTGTATTACCTGCAATCAAATATAAACAATAATTTTTGACAATGAATGCATAACCCAAAAGCCATTTTACAACATGACTACTAATGGACCAAAGTAAAGAAAGTAGCTAAAGTTGTATTTCCAAAAGAAAAGGTTCAAAACCTTTTTTAACCATTTCACATTTACTGTTTAATCATAATTTTCATGTTTTTTTTCTTGATAATTTGATTGCTTGATGTTTATCAAACCTTTTTTGTGTTTGTGTATTTGCTTGTTTTCATTCACAACAATAACATTGCTTGAGATGAAAACTCAGTTAAATTTACTGATTGTTAGTCAATAGCTTTGTATTTAATAATAACGTTAGGTTGAGGAAGAAGGGAATGAAAAAAATATCAAGAAAAATTAGTTGAACCGAATAAGATGAAGATGATAATGATGATCATTTTGATCTTTCCGATGCTTCTCTTTGTAAAAATCTTCATATCGATAATGATGATGATGATGGAAGGATGAAAACAATTGAAATAAGTTAGTCTTGGATGATTTTGAATGATGAAGATAATCAATTTGATTGGTTAATAGACAAATAATTATATGTAATGATTAGCAGACATAGTCAATTGCCTTTTTGACCTACCATGTTAACCTAAATTGCCATTTGTATTGCTTTATCCGCACCAATCATTATTTATACATCAACTTGAGAAACAGTCTAATCTAATTGTTATATCAATGAGAAGTACCAGAATTTTGTTTGGTTAGTAATTAATAAAAATTGATCATTTCAAGATGTATCAAAATGTATCATAAAGAAACCTGATTCTTGCTTTATAACAATTTTCCCTCCAATCTCGATATTTCAACAAAACTAATCGTGTACCAAAAATCAGAGGTTTGATTCATTTTTAATTGGCATCACTATTTGCATTATTGACCAGAAATTAATTTACCGATCAAAGTGGTGATGTGATGACTTTTGACTTTGACTCTAACAAGAAATTAATTTTTAATATTGTAAGCTTTCTTCAGACTTGCGAGTTCAATTCATGATTGAATTATTTTGCATTATTGTGCCAATAAATCAACATGAAACATCAGATTGAATTAATTCTGATGAAATTTCTTTTACGTTTCTCTAAATCAAAGTTTAATCGACTTCAAACTCAGCAAACATTTTCGGGTTATGAATTATAAGACAAGGAATTGGATTGAACCTAAATATTGTATCCAATGGTTTGTTTGATATGAATTTACGTTTCATCTAAGCTTTTGTTTTAATCTAACAATTGAGTTATTTCAGGCTCTTAATTGGCAATTGACCTTAAAATTGAATTGATTAAAAATCTATCAATTTATTAGTCAAATCGATTGGATTTTATCAACGGCCGATTTTAGATTAACTCTTGATAGCTTTGCACTTGAAGATATTATCAGAATCTTTGGTTTCCATGATTGTCTGATTAACTGTCGTTCAATGTTTCAATTTTGAAAAGTGAAACTGAAAGTATATTAATTGTGATTTACCTTTTAACCCAATTTTCAACCCAAAAATTGTATTCCTCCATTTTTCATTCACCTTTACCTGCATCCTTTTTATTCACGCTCAAAATGCTGTTTTACCTTTTACCATTCAAACCAATTTAAACTTATCAACAATGTTGACAATATTTTATTTTTTTCACCATAAAAGATATTATTTAACCAATAATAATGATAAACATGTTAATAACAATGATAATAATTTTCTCGCACTTTTTACTTCCCTATTAATGGATAATCACTCTAACCCTTACTTAACAATTTACTAATTTCACTCTTAACCCGTAAATCAATACAAAAAAACGACAAACTCTACTCTTGAGTCATTAAGTCAATCCATACACTTAATATAATGATAACTTATATTGTTGTAATGATAATAATCACTTTCTGTTGTTCAAATGGTTAGGCGTTCAAAGGTGAAAGTGTTTCTTGTAGAGTTGCACAGTAATTTAACGCACCTTAATCAGATAATCACAACTTTCCAAAGATAATATCATGATCCATCCTCATCAAATTAATTGTTAATTGTTTCAATTCAATTTACACTAATTTTCACTTTGATTGTTTTCAAGTTGCAATTTTGTTGCTCTTTGAAAGTAAAAATTTTGATCAAAACTATTCATGAAAAGAGATTGAAAATGTTTCTATTTACAGAAAAATCTATTCATTCAAATGATATTCAAATGATCATTTCTAATCTAAAATTAACCTTCAACTGTAATGGCAGTTAAATGAATGTCAATAGTCAATTGTAATCAAAAGAGATTCATGATTAACAGAGTTTTCATGCAAAATGAGACTCAATTAATGTTGCAGAACATCAATTGCTTGCTTAATTAGCTAATCAAAATGATTATCTTAATGTTACAATTTTACGATCTTGTTCAAGCTACAAGTGTAACGAGATTTATTAATTGTTAGATTTTATGTTCACTAATATGAAACTCGCTATATTTATGCATTATTTTGATGGTAAAAGTTGATTCCTCGTTTTTATTGAATGATCATTTGATTGATAAATGTTAATAGCCCATTATTGTCGTGACTGTTGATGAATAAATTAATGTATCTGCAAATTTGAACATCGGCCCACGTGTTCATGATGATCATCATGATTGAGATGTTCAGAATAGATATTTTTATTGCCGATCAATTTTTGCATCTCTTTCACTGTTTCGTCTAAATTTCATCTAAACTTTCATTTTGATTTAGCTATGAAATTGATGAACAAATCGCCTTTCAATCTACTTTTTAATCACTTTACTCTAATTATAACAAGAACAGTTAATTTTTATTTCCATGGCTTCATGAACTTCTTTTGTTTGCTTGGTAAACGTGGGTTTTGTCTCATGTAAACGTTTCAATTGAAAGGTAAAAACTCAACTCATTTCCTGACAATTTATTAACACAAATCACAATTTTGCGGCTATTATTACTCGACAATATAACTTTGTTTCATTTTTTAGTCTCTTTACATCAACTGTCAATGATTTCAATAAAATTGAAACAATTGAAACCTTTTCCGACAAAAACATAACCAACAATCATGCTTAAATGTTTTCAATTATAAGTCTATGCCTCGAGTTATGCATTTCAAGTAAACTCGAGTATTTTCAGGAAAAGATTTTCAGAGATTTTCACTCGTTAATATCGCTTCTTTGTTCAGATTGGTTTGTGTGAGTTCCAACTCTTTTTCAAGTTCTGACATCTACACATGTACTTCTGATAATTGTCATCAAAGCTCAACTCTTGGAGACTCATTTATTTCAGATATACATGTATTATATAATGAAGTATTTTTCAACTTTCCGATCGTGATGAAATTCAACAGAATCTTGAAACATTTTTATTCAGCTTCTCTGTTGCCTGAATCTTGATCCAGTTTTTGGTCAATATTCATTTGAATCTCTGTTTATCTGATTTGGCTTTGTAAACAACTCTGAAAGTTTATCTACACTTTTCTCAATTGAACTGATGATAAAACTTTGCTTTACATGTTGATCTTTCCTCATGACTATTTATTCAAATGATTATCATGTTTGTTAATAAGCTTTTCTCTATTTTTTGTAGACTTATTACATAATTCATGGGTTAAACATGATGAAACTTTGATTAATTTTTTCATTACTTTTCGTCTTGAATCTAAATTTAGGCTTTCTTTAGTCAATATTAAAGCCTTAACTGACTGTATTTACCTTGAAATGTCCAAAGGAAAAGGTTAAATTGATAAACGATGTAACAAAATCTGATGAAACCTTTTATTGATGTTAATCTATTTTACCAATTTTTCCTGGACATTGAAAACTTGAA